GGCAACAGGAGGAAGGGAAAGGGGGGAGGGGAGTCCTAGGACCAGAGCAGTAAACCAGGAAAAAAAATCCTACAGCTCGAAGCTGGAATAATACAGAATGGAATGTGGTCAAATTTACTTTCTGGGCTTTTTAAATTCTCTGATCAACTTTGTCATTAGTTCTACAATGTATCCGAAAACAGAATGAAACATAAAAAAAAATCTGATTTAAACCTGACAACTTTAACATTAAAAAATTTTTAGATAACATTCTTACCTTCTAACCTGAAAATTCTTACATCGACATTAAAATTATGGTAAAAAGCAATAGCATTTTTCTATGATATTGCAGTAGTACTATAAAAATATATTCAAATATAAGCTGCAAGGAAATGTAGGAATATTATCTGAGTCATTTTGAATATATTGGTCAAGACGGAGGTAACGTTCGTCCGAAAAAGAGTAAAAACACATTTTGGCAAAATATGGGAAACTAAGACAAATAATTATAATAGATTTAGCCACTCACAATTGCAATCTTAATAAATCTGCCAAAAAGCTTATATATTTTTTTCTTTATTCTTTGTTTTTCAACTTTTTGGGGACGAAACAGTTACAGGACACAGTCATTGTTGACATTACAATTGAAAATAATTAAAAATGGCATCCTAACAAAATTCACACGATCTCAGACATGCCCTTCAAGTGTAATTTTTTTTGTTAGCATTACATTATAAGTTAACTAAGCACATCAACATCAACCAAAGAAAGACAGCCGAGCAAAAAAGGCTGAAATAATTGTCAATGATTACAAATACAGTAGAGCTAATGATGCAAATGAAATGATAAGTATTTGTGGACTGCCATCTTGTGGCAGATTTATGCAATACAACACGGCTGTACGAAGCAAAACGTACCTGGAGCAGTCTGAACATGGCTGCTGTCTTAGTTCTGAATATATAATATATATAATTGAATATATATTATTATGATAATAGTAAATACATATATATAGAAGTTCTGCAATAGATTTGCGGCAAAAAAGTGTTCATATAAGAGTTAAGACACCAGTTATACTTTTAAAAGTCTGTATCCTTTATTGGCACAAAATTATTCATCAATGCATTAGTTTCTCTTTGTTGATCACAGATCACTGATAATAGAATATTGGCTCTGAATAAGTAAGTAGAAAAATAACCAGTTTTCCATAGACATTAACTTCACATTAAGTTTCACATATAAACAGAATAGACGAATAACCAGTTTTCCATAGACATTAACTGTTTCACATATAAACAGAATAGACACATCCTGTCTTCTTAATATAACAGAAATGCTTCTCTGTTGCTTTATCTGTTTTTTTTTTCACATATAACTTTACTGAAGATCACAGAGATGTTAATAAAGACCCAAAAACCAAATAATCAACATAAGGATTCATTTTAAAAAGAGTAAAGTGCATTTTTGCCATAAAAAAAACAAAACTCTGCACCTGGTCATAGCAGTAGAAGGAGATGCAAAAAATATCTGATTTGTACTGTAATTTAAATTCTGATTCTAACTTAGCTTGGGCATTTACTATTGAAATAACTCCTTATTTATTTATTTATTTATTAGACATTTATGATTTTGTTTATTGATTTCTGTTGTAGCCCTTCACGTAAGGCCACCTCAGCCATCAGTTGTGGAAAATCTGTATCCTACAAGGTCCAGTTAACAGTAGCATTTGTGAGTTTTTGTTTGATTACATTAGTGTGAATATTTCTGCTCCAAATATGTTTCGACACCTGCTTAGTGCATAGACCAAAAGCTTAATTCCACAGTAAAAAAAAATTATAAACACATCAATCATTTTAAATGAGTTGTTCTAGATTTATCAGGCTTGATATAATGAGATATAAATGAGCGCAAAGATGCAGCTCCGTACACAGTGCTGCTGCACTAATGCTCATGAGACGGCAATGGTTGATATTTGATCTTTGACATTTTGGCTTTGAACAGGACCACTCCACACACCATGCCAACAGCTGCCAGAAGACAACCAGCTATGAACACCATGTTCAAGTTCAGGTTCCCGATCACTGGAAAGATGACAAACAGACTGGGTTGAGAACTTACCCAGGTATCATTTCGACAGATGAGAAAAAAACAAAATGAACAGCAGCTTTCATACCTGTGGATTCACTGCTCTCTGCTGCCCTCCGGAGGCGGAGAGGACCCTGGGAAACAAAGTGGCTGGCAGACTCTATCACTGTCTCCCTCCTCCTGCGCCGATGACTCGTTTGTGTGGGGTCCACGCACCCCCTGGAGCACCTGGTGTTGTTGTTTCCTGCTTCGCACATCATGAGTGAACAGCTTATGTAGACCTGAGACACACAGAGAAAAACTGTGATTTATCATCAGACAAACAATAACATCTTAACCCACCCAGTCCAGTCACACTTAGAATATTTTCAGAGCTTTGACTGATGTGAACTGCAGTATAAATTAAAATAAAGTTATGCCTCTGGATAGAAGCTTTGAATTAAGTCAAAAACAGGAAATGACCTCACAGAATTTTTTCCTGATTTTTCTTTCCTTTTATTATTATTATTTAAAAAAACACTTTTTGTGCCATTTTTGACGTATGTAATAAAATGTAAGTATGTTTTTTTTTTGTCAAAGTGCATTTACGTTTTACAGACTGTAAAAAATGAAACGTGATGATCGTCACATTCTTTGATTTCATGTTCTGATTACCTGATCGTGCAGGCCGATGAATTTAAATGCCTCAATGCTGAACCTGAATTGATCACCAGAGCTGGGATAGACTACAACAGTTGGATCCGTTAGACACCTGAGTCCAGTCGAGAGAAAGTAGGAAAGAAAAAAACAAACATTGTTAAATTAAGCAGGTGCGTTGATTATTTGTCTTGTGCGTAAAACAAATTATTTAATTTTTTTTTAATTTCTTTCCTGCACTGGCTGGGATTCATGGACACATCTGTTGATTGATTTAGTTACTTGTTATCTGTGAGGTGCCACAATATATACTCTTCTTCTTTTTAATTACAAAACACTACTAAAACATTACAGAACAGAATAAACAGAATTTAGTTTTGAATCCTCCTCCTCCACGTAATAATAACAAACTAAAAAAAAAGTGTAACTGTGGCTGTGAGAGTAAAACGTATTTGATAATCTCCTAATATGATCTTCTTACCCATTGTCAATCAGGGAGTAGACTGGGTGGTAGTTTGGGTTGTCATACGGTGCAGCACGGCAGGATTCCACAAACAGCACTGTGTTGTTGATAGAAGACGTGGCCTGTATCTGCATGTAAATCCTGCTGCCTAATTCATACTCCAGGGGGTATGAATTTGGATCAATCATATCATTAAACTGGTTGTCAGGATAGAACTCAAACTGATAGGTGAAACGTCCAAAGCCCCGGTCCCACACAGAGATGGTCTTTCTGTGTGTCAGGAAGCTCTGAGTCACGTTTCCTCGTTTGGGGTACTGACAGTAGAACTTCACTTCCAGCAGGTTCTTCCTGGTGATGAGATCTCTGTAGCTGTCGACTGTGGTGAGTTCATTCTTAAACAGGAGGTAATCATCGTCTTCCTGCAAAGGTATAACATGAAATGTGTTTGCTGGGTCCTTAAAGTGTGAGTGTGTGAGACAAGCAGAAAGCAGTTTCACCTCAATCTGAGTTCCACAAGCATTAAGGGGGACGACACCGATGATGTGAGTGTTGTTGGAGTGAGTCTGAAGGCTGCAGAGTGTGTTTGAGGGGTCGCTGAGCTGCAGATGATCTTCACTCAGTCGAGGAAATGAAGCTTTCTCCACTATCACTGTCATTGAGGACTCGTGGCAAATCACATGAGATTGAACTGGAACACAGAGATTTTAACAGTATGTGTTTAACATACACGTTGATGTTTCAAATCAGTGGCTTGTCTAGTCCTGGAAAACGACTGCATAGGTTTTACTATGAGCCCGTCCTACTCACCTTGTGTGTTCCTGACATCCACCAGAACACATCTCATCTCAGACTGATATACACGGGATCTGAAAATAATTGAAATGCATGTTTTATAGAGATTCACGGGATCTGAAAATAATTGAAATGCATCTTTTATTTTTTTTATTAGATTTCAGAATTTATATAAAATGTTCAATTATTTCCCATTTTGATGTTGTTCTCTGTTCAACTTTGTTGAATGTTCAATTATTTCCCATTTTGATGTAGTTTTCTGTTTCTCTGGGAAACACAGATACACAGTACTACCAGTGAATGTAATTTACAAAAAAAAAAAAAGATTAGAAGATTAGAAAGTAACAACTATTATTGCTCAAAATCATGATTTTAGAGCAGAGGTGTCTAACATATGGCCAGCGGGCCTAAACCAGCCCATCCGGGGGTTCAATATGGTCCGCTTGATGAATGTAAAAAAGTGAAATAAATTGCACAAACACTGCATGATAGTGATGCTTTGTCAAATACTTCATTATATACTGTACATAAATACTTTCTAATATAGTTGTACTGGAGGGAAACAAAGGGGGAAAAGTACATAATTACCTAATAGTTGTACTGGAGGGAAACAAAGGGGAAAAAGTTAACTATTGTTAGTTATAGGTAATTATGTTGTGATTGTACTGGTCCAGAGCACTTGACATCTATGTGGTCCCTGAACCAAAAATATTCAGACACCACTGTTGCAGTTTTAAATATATTTTTTACATATGCTTTTTACACAGATGCCGACGATGTTAAGAAATTAAAAGGAAGTCTGACCCGTCCACTGCCTCTACAACAAAGCAGATTGGAAAATGATGTCCCAGGTCTTCTGGCTGTGGTGTCCACTTGATGTCAAATTCATTGCCTGTGTTTCTTCGCTTTGTCGTTGTCAACGGGGCCCTCAGAATCACTTGAACAATCCTGTGAAAAGTGAGCAGTTGTGATCCTGTTCTTTGAAATGATCTGATGTTGCATGACCTCAGTGAGTGGCGTTGGTTCTGACTCACGTGGCATGTGTGGCTTCTGCTTTAACTCTGAACTCCATTTCCCTGTTGACCTCCGCTTGCAGTCGTGCTCCATTGGCAGGAGTTGGAAAGACAAACTTTGGCAAGAAGACTCCCTCTGTACATGTGGTTACCCTGGGATCCACTGCAAAAAAAAAAGAAGAAGAAAACTCCAGAGATGTGAGGTTTGAATTACTTGCAGCTCTCACTGCGAAGGGACCGTCACTCTGGACAACTTTACTGGATTGGTTTCTTGATGGTTTCATTTCAGCCCTGATCCAAGAAACTACTTCAGTTCTGACTGACTGCTAGAAAATTGAGATATTTCACCTTTGGTTTTTTCAATAGTCAGTATGGGTTAGTTTTGGTCTGTACGTCTGAGCACAGGTCAACCAAACAGCCAAGTGCATGATGCAGTTCACCACCTTATATGCATATTTCTGAAGGTCTTTGGATCAAAACTGGATGACTGAGACTTTTATTGTACAGAGGGGACATGAATGCAGATCGCTAATTAAGTAACAAGTTAAATTAAATGAACTCTTACCAAGAACAGAAAACTGGAGCGGCAGTTCACTGAGAGGACTAGTGGTAGAAAGAGGAGGGACTGTTATTGTAGTAGTAGTAGGAGGGGTTGTTGTTGTAGTAGGAGGGGGTGTTGTTGTAGTAGGAGGGGCTGTGGTTGTAGTAGGAGGGGTTGTGGGTCTAGTAGGAGGGGTTGTGGTTCTAGTAGGAGGGGTTGTTGTTGTAGTAGGAGGGGGTGTTGTTGTAGTAGGAGGGGGTGTTGTTGTAGTAGGAGGGGGTGTTGTTGTAGTAGGAGGGGGTGTTGTTGTAGTAGGAGGGGTTGTTGTTGTAGTAGGAGGGGGTGTTGTTGTAGTAGGAGGGGCTGTGGTTGTAGTAGGAGGGGTTGTGGGTCTAGTAGGAGGGGTTGTGGTTCTAGTAGGAGGGGTTGTTGTTCTAGTAGGAGGGGTTGTTGTTCTAGTAGGAGGGGTTGTGGTTGTAGAATGCCACCACCACCTCTGTGAGGATGGGATCATGGTTCCAGGTGGGGTTGTTGGATCTCTGTTCCACCATGGGGTGACTGATCGTCTGTTTCTACTGCCTGTTGTCAGTGGAGCTCTGTAAACGCGAGAACCATCTTCGTAGGACAAACTGATGTGACGTTGTGGGAAGTCCTCTACTACCATTTCAAATGCAAAAACATAGTTGGTGGACAAGATGTAGTTGTAGTACAAAGTACAAGTGTCCTGAAAGTGAGAATAATTATTAGATGCTGGGGGTCAAGGATCAAACTATTATAGAATACTTTCTACTACTAACCTGATCTAAATGAAATCCTGAAGGCAGATTGCACCAGTGGCACTCACGGAGACGGACATTTGCATATCTACATCGAACCCGGTCTGCATCAGGATCAAAGGCCATTATGTTGTATGATCTCGGGCAGTTTTCAGGAACTCTTTGAGTCGACGTACACATAAGATCATCACAGTTATCAAAATGGTCCTTTACAGGTTACAAATATCTATAGCAATGTATTTCAATGGTCTGAAACATGAAGCTTTGATGTTGAATTTACCGGAGAAAAGGAACAATAGCCAGGTCTGGTGATCTGTTTGGTTGCCTGGTGTCAGATCTTGTTCCCAAATCAATTTTGGTTCTGAGATACCAGGAACCATATCCATTGCGGGTATAGACCCAACAACAGCTGGCTTGGCTGGGATGTGCAGAGACAAAAGAATCATAAAAAATGAACACCACTAGGGGTCAATGTGTCTTAATATTATTACTGTGAATAACTGATGAATAAAACAGTTGTATAAAAGGATTAGGGCTGTAAAAATTAACACTTTAAGCGTGTAATTGTACAAACTAATCTTAAATGTTTTTTATCAAATTCTAATGCAGAATGACGTGCACTGTAGATAATAAAAAGAAAATTTGCATCTACTTATTGTTGCTCTAACACAGCCAGTATAAATGTTGTTATATGTACACACTGTAAAACATTTATTTTATTTTATAATTCTACAGCTGAGAAGACGACTGACACAATTGTCATATGATTTTTGAGGAACTGGAGACAAATAATATTCATCAAAAGAGCGACAAATATTGTGGAGGACCACAGCGTCAACAAAATTTTGAAAGCAACTCTTGATGTCTTCTACAACACACATTCGGATGCAAGTAATGACAAAAATGCATCAACTCCATGAAGCAAAGTTGAGAGTGGTGCTTTTGCAGAATTTGATATTTTTTCCATTTTTTATAGATTTAGAAATGTAACTATTCGTGATTAATTGTGATTAATCCACAGTTACCCTGTAAATGATCAAATTAAAATTGTATTTGTTTTACAGCCCTAATGAAGATAAAAATAATAATTTAAAAAAATCAGTAAACATAATCTTACCGTCTTTCGAAAGGTTGATTGCTGCGAAGGGTTGTGGTAGTGATTGTTTCTCTTTCACACCACTCTCTGTTGCCTGACTGTGTGTAATTGTTCCTTTCAGCTATGTGACTCCCGCTGATGTGGAAGCTGTTACAGCTGGACCCGTAACAGTTCCAAGGTCCGTAATTATGACAGCCATCAAAGACTGCCCTGGTGCGGAATTCCACCTGCATTCATAATTAAATATTTTTCTGATTATGTAGGATTATGTGAGGGTTAATTGAACAAGCATTTTCTCAGTCTGAATATTTAACCGTGTCACATTATTTACTATATTGTACCAGAGTGCATTGAAAAAGAAATATGACTTTTACTTATTGTGTTTTATTTTGTAAATTTGGGTCACCCAGTTGAATAAATCTTCAAACTAAGGGCTCACACAATGCTAGAATTATACCATTGTTTGCCCAAAATAAGAACACATTTTACAGACTCTCATATGACGTTAATGACATGATGTTTTAGTTCAAATGAATTGCTCACATTGTAAGTTCCATCTGGGTTTCTTCCTCTGTTGGTGAACGTCTCCGTTCCTCCGTAGTGATGTGAAGCCGATGCCAGAGAGATCAGGAGCTGAAGCAGAAGCACTGTTGTGGCTGCCATGGTGACCACAAGTTTCCTCCGTCCCAAGATTCTCTGCTGCACTTGTTTACCTGCAGCGTCTTATATACTTGCCTGGCACGACATTCCAGAACTCTTCATGCCATCTGCAATGGTATGCTTTGTATTTTTGATTATAATCCACAGCAGAACCGGTTTAAAATAAAACCCACATTTACTGGAAAACAATCGCCCTGATGAGGAACTAACACGAGATGTTGTTTCTTGCAGGAACTGACAAGGTATTGTTTGTTCAGTTATGTAGATTTCCAAAAAAAAAAAAAAACCCATAATAATAATAATAAAAAATAAGGAATAATGTTTTCATTCTTCCTTCTGTGTTTTATCATTTATTCAACTTTAGTCAGTTTTTCTAACCACATTTGTCACATTTCTTATTGTTATTCATCAGATTATTATTATTTCTTGGCTTTTGCCAATGATATCTAGCATAAACAGTTGGCAGAATAAATGACCGACATTCTTAGTTAATTGAAATGTGGTAAGAAAAATAACACTTTGTCTCATCTGGGTGTGACAAGGTTTCGGCCTGTTCCAGTAAACTGTTCTTCCTTGTAAAAAAAAAAAAATCATTAACCTTGATTGAGGTGTGATCTGAATTTAAAAATCTTTCACATACACTCAGACCGTCTTAATGATATTGTGATTGAAAAAAGAGAGAAAATGAATCATCAACAAAAACGCTAACAGAACACCTATTTCTTCTTTAAATTTAGATTTTTTTTTTAAATATTATATCAACTTTCCCAGTTAAGCTTACCTGCAGCGTCTTATATACTTGTCTGGTACGACATTCCAGAACTCTTCATGCCATCTGCAATGGTATGCTTTGTATTTTTGATTATAATGCACAGCAGAACCGGTTTAAAATAAAACCCACATTTACTGGAAGAGAATTGCCCTGATGAAGAAACTAACACGAGATGTTGTTTCTTGCAGGAACTGATAAGGTATTGTTTGTTCAGTTATGTAGATTAAAAAAAAAAATACAAACAAATAATAATAAAAAATAAAGAATAATGTTTACACTCTTCTTTCTGTGTTTTATTATTTAAAAGTTTTAGCTTTAAGTGATAAAATGTCTTTTTTAGTTCCTAATACAAACTGAGAGTTTGTATTAATGAGTCAAGATGAATGAACGACTTTCTGCGACTTTTCCACTTGTTTCTTCATGAGATGTGGCTACAGCTGTGGTTCACAGCGTAGTTTTTACAGAGCATGTCCTTTGCGACACAATGGTCTTTATTATTCAAACGGCTGAAAAACCCAGTGAGATTCCAAGGGCCGAACTTTTTAATGAGTTCTGCGCAAAGTTTAGGGAAATTAGGATATGAAATGACACAGCCCCACAGATCTCTCTTTCTTTCTCTCTCTCTCTCTCTCCATTGCATTGGACAAAATAAAGAACAAATCATTGTAGTTGCACAATAACCTTTTATTGTTTTAATGTCGGGTGTAACTCAGCCATTCAGTAACCCCGGAAATACAATTAAAGAAAGAAAGAAATTAAATGTGTGTAAAATGTATTGTTAAAAAATCCTGTTTAACCAGATAAAACCACTAGATGAGAATTGTTTGACTCTGGAAGGAATTGAATCAAGTGCCAATAAAAAGAAATTAAAATGCTTGGAAAATGAGGCGGAGTTAATTATACAGAGACCCTGAGTAGTATCACACAACTCCTGAAATTTTCTTTAGACCAAATCATACATATATATATTTTTTTTAATGATGAAAATTCGTAATTTATTAATTTCAAGGTGTCTTCAGATTCATAAAGAATGCATTAAGGCAATGCAAAATGCAAATACACTAAAGTATAGACAAAGTGGTGAAAGTGCTATATAAATGTGTGCAGAAAAACACAATAATCATATCATATCATTAGAGGGTCCAGTTTGTGGAACTCAAATCCTGTGGATCTGTTAGCATAACTGTATATTTATGGGGAATTTCTTTTCACTTAATGTCAACTAGATTCCTTTTTTTTTCAATTCAATTTGACTGTTTTCAAAAACCAAACCTTTCTCTTTAGTTTAGATCATATTTTAAAATTGTTAGGAACCTGCAAAAATTCCAGTGTAAACCAAGTGAATTGAAGGTGGACTGCATGTGGGTAAAACCCAACTGGGAACTGTAGGTGTGAACACTTTCACTTCATAGTCCAAATAAACTCGACAGCTAGACAACTTGGCTAGGACACCAGCCTCCCCTCAATCCCACAGACTTGCTTTAAATCTACAGAGACAAAGAGTGTTTGCCCCTTAGGACCACAAGACTCTTCAAATAAAGATGCATTTGATTTTGGCCTTTTTTTGATTCAGGATTCATTTAGAATTTAGATTTAGACGGTCTTCAACAACTGTTCCTACACACTGGACCTCCAGCTAACAAACAAGATGTGGTGAAAAGCTCAGATTAGTAAAGTTTAGTTCTCAAGGCCTAAGATAAGAGCTTTGCGATCTTCCCTGATTCCCCTCTTACTGATGTAACAAAAACCAACAGCGATCAACACAAGTAACACTATGAAGGCACTTGCAAACATTATAGTAGTGATTTGGTTCCAGAGTATCTGTTGTACATTCCAGTTTCCTTGTCCGCTCTCCATGTCTGTAGCGAATGACTTAGGGTTCACTGAAAGACAAGGATCAGCTAATTAGCTAAGGGGTAATAAGACTAAGTGCTGGCTTGTGATAAGGAGAGTTAGCTAGGAAGGAGGGAAAGTTAACCAAGCAAATATACAGGTAAGTGGTAAGGATTATAGAGCAGGTACAGTAGTGTGGGTAGATAAGTGTGCAGTAGTCAGACAGGGTAGAAAGAACAGCTATGAGAGTCGGTGAGGTAGAGAGAAGGGCATGATAAGGGTGATAAGGGTGATGAAGTATGTAAGGTAAGTTGGTAGGTATGTAAGCTGATTGGTCTGTCACAGGGAAGTATAAAGCTAATTATACAGGTTACTAAGCTGCATACAATAGGTAGTCATGGTACATAGAAAAGCAGATAGATAGGGTGATAAATAGGTAGAAAGGTACCTAAAAGGGGAGGTAGGTATGGAGGAAGATCAGATGGAGTAGAAAGAATAGGTGGGTTAGGAAAGTAGAATGACGTTGTTAGATCAGTGGATGGATGGACAGGTGGATAGGCAGGAAGGTAGATGAAAGGCTTTGTTAGGTTGTCATGATGCATTCACAGACAGATAGGACTGTAAATTCTCAGACGGCTACTGACCTGGTTGGACATTGTCCATCTTCAGGAACATAGTATCATTTAGAGCTTCGATCGAACCAGGTATCTTAACAATCACAAAAGGACCTTGGGCTATGTAGTGTCTATCAGTCTCTCTGCTCGTGTCTCGCCTGCGCCTGCGTTTGATCGGTTCGTCAAGGCAACCCTGCGCACATCTGGAGTAGGGAGAGGTGTTCTCGCACATGATGACAGAGCAAGTAATGTACACCTGTAGGGCAGATCAGAGTTAGTGTTCACAAGTTATGTTTGGTTGGTTAGTAAAGAAAATTATTCATTTTTTTCAAAATTGACTTTAGTTATCTAAGTTGTGCAGTCGCTGCGTTCATAACATGGCCTTAAAAACATTCCAAGTTATGTTTGGTTGGTTAGTAAAGACATGGCCTTAAAAACATTACACTACTGTGGATTTTACCAAAAGGAGGTCTGGTATTCACACATTGTTGGGAGCTAACCTTAACCCTCTGAGGAATTAAGGAGTGGATGTAGCTGCTACTCTCCTTTATCCAGAATTACCTTGTCATAGTTCCCTGTAAACTTGAAGGCTTGAACCTCAAAGTTGAACACCACGTCTTCACTTTGGTAGATTTTCAATGTTTCATCTTTGATACACCTGAAAAAGACACACGGTAAACAATCAGGAGGTTTAAAAAGTCTCTTTTCCAGCCAGCACGTACATGACACACACACACAAAACAAGAAACAGATTTACCCGTTCTTGATGAGGTCATAGGAGAGGACATTTTCAGGATTCTTGTCAGGAGTAGCTTTGCATGACTCCACAAATATCCTCACATTGGAAATCTCAGACTGAGCTTTAATGCCCATGTAGACTGTATCCAAAAGCCGGACCTCTACTGGGTAGGCACTGGAGTTTACTTTATCTTGAAATTTGTTGTCTTTGAATATCTCAAAATTGTAGCTGAAACTGCCAAAGCCGGACTCTGTGAAAATGTAGTCTGTGCTGTGGATACTGAAGTAGTTGGAGATGCTGAGACTTTTGGGAAACTGGCAGGAGAAATCGATCTTCACCACCTTCCTCCTGGTTATGATCTCATCTGGCAGTACAAAGGAGTTGATCTCATTCTTGAAGGCAATTTTGTCACCTAGATCCTATTTTCAGAAAAGAATGTTTAAAATATAAAAATAAAAGACCTCATACTAACATTTTAATCATCTCAATTTTTATATACAACTTTTTCTCCAAACCTCCAGTGTTGTGCCACAGGTGCTGAGGGACATGGTCCCCATGATGTGAGTGCCATTGGAGGACAGGGAGCAGGAAGGGTCTCTCAGCTTCAGAAACCTTTCGTCAATACCAGGCATGGAAGCTTTGTCCAGGATGACTTTCATTATGTTGGGTAAACATTCAACTTTTGCCTCACCTTTGAATCACACATAGAGAATAAACCTTATCAACAGACAGGAGTTAAATTTAAAAAAAGAATGAATTAATAACAAATGTTTCTTTAAAACTTATTTAATTTAATTCATATCATTATTAAAGGTAAGTGGGGAATGACCATTTAGTCCTTTTTTATTGTCTCCTAACCAAATCTTAGCTGAAAATTAGTATCAAAAATACCCCTTTTCTGTAAGGTCAAGTAACTATGTTAAAATAAAATAATAAACTGTAACATCATCTACTAACAAATTCATCACTACTGAGCAATTTGTAAAATTACATTAAATAATGACATGTAATCCCAAATATTCAAATACATTTTTGACTGTTACATGAATGCACCATTGTGACCTACTTCATTATAATGTGGGGGCTGAATGTTGTGAACAAAAACAAACCTTGAACGATAGATGCACGGGTCACCAAGACAGTAACACACCTCATCTCTGATTGGCTGGAGGAAGAAAATAAGGTTGAGTGAATATTAATCATAGCCGTGATCATAAAGTCAGAGGAGGAAGTTCTTTTTCTTATCCCAAAATTACTCTCATGCACAAAGTAACAATGAATCTGTAAATATCTGGGAGTTTAAATGAAACAAAAGAAACAAAAAACCACTCACAATTCATCTGTCTCTGCCGTAAAGCAGAAAGGGACAAACGCATATGCATGATGGCTCTGTGGTGTCCAGGTGATGGTGACTTCAGCTGTTCCTTGGCCACCAGTTTGAAACTCCTTGCTGATGTTCTGAGGCCCACTTATTTGGAAGTCGACGATTCTGTAGACGAAACATGAAAATAAATCAATACATAAAATTCTTCATCTGTTCTTCATCTTAGATGTTCTTAGACTCATAGTGATCATAGTTACCTGCTGTTTTGGGCCTTTGCTTCAGCATGGAGCTCGAATGGTTGGCCAACGCTGGCATGAAGAACATCACCATGTGATGGAGTCTTGGACAAGAACATGGGCTGCACATTACCTAGTTCACAACTTGGTACTGAAGATAAAACTGAAAGGAGAGGGGAAAAGATTCATGAAATCGCCAGTCACTAGATGGCAGCACTGGAGCTCATTCAATGAATCAGGGGATTTAATGCAGAATGCTGGTGCCAGCAATATACGTAAACGTATACGGTGGTTTGTACAGATAAATAAATAAATAAATATTACTAATATTTTGAATTTAAATCACTGAAAATGTTGTTTCTTAAAACAAGGCCTTTTTGATTATTAGGATTTTTCCTCTACATTATGTGCGATGTAACTTTTGTTTTTTGTTTTTTTTTTTAAGGGAAGAAGGACCACAGTGTGAAATGACATTGTAAATATTTCATGGTTGTATGGTTGTAAATTTAAAAAGACACAGTGTGAAATGACATTGTAAATATTCCATTATGGTTGTATGGTTCTAAATTTAAAAAGGTGTCAAATTAACTTAATATAGCATTGACAGCTTTAATCATCCAATCCACACGCATATATGATCAATTAAAAAAAAGTTAGTCAATTATTTTTACCAAACTGATACTATATAACAAGTAATATAACTTGAAATTCACAAATAAAGGTAACACAACAATATGCTTCTTTCTTTATTCTGCTGTTAGTGAATAATTATCTATAATTATCGGTCTGGTATGGACAGCTTAATAACACCAATAAGGACATACTGCTAGTTCAAATTGCATTACTATACATTAACAATCATACAGGAAAGCAAGACAATGGATTGAATAGATTTCCGATCAGAGCGCAGAGAGGCATTAGATGTACTTTTTCTGTGGTGTGTTGTGTCACTCACTCTCCACCAGGAACTGAAGCTTAACTCTGCAGAGAGGCGCTAAGTTCTCGTCTGAGGTTTTACGAAGCACTGATGTTCCATTTCTATAGGTCAGTGTGATGTTGTTAGTGGGAAAGTCCTCCAGCATTATCTCAATCACATGATTGCCAGTGTCAACTTGACCTGTACTGGTTAGTGTGCAAGTCTCCTGGAAAGACACAAATGAAATTAAATGAAATTAAACAATGACCAAAGCAGGTCTACACTGCACGTTTCAGTCATCAATTCATCATTAAATCTTTGCACTTCCAGGTTTCGCTTACTGTTACTTTGAGTTTCATAATTTATTCAATAATTCCATCATTTCAAAATAGTTGTGAAACATAAAATCCCAGTGTTATGTGTCTTTTTGTTTCAGCTGTTGATTTATCTAAAGTTATCCTGCATTAATCGTAAAAATCAATGAACAGCCCTGCATTATAAATATGAAGTGTGGGATATTTTGAACATTTAAAAAATACCTTTTTAAGTAAACAGATTTACCTTGTCAATTGCAAAATTTGAAGGAATTGTTGCATCTGGACTGAAACTGCATTTGACGTCATCCCTGTCCGGATCCTGAGCCAGAAGTTGTATCCTTGAAAAACAGTTCTGAGGAACTCTGTGTCAAAACATCAAATTTGGATGCAAAACAGAATATAAGAACATACTGTATGGTAATATAAAGTCAGAAAACTATAATACTTTTGCCCGAGTTGTGAAGCAACATAATATATATTTTTGACAACTTTTCTTTGAACAGAACACACATTTACCTTAGATTTGCCACTGTTGTGGTGACAGGACAGTTGTTCAGAGACAGTGTGTCAGATCGGGTTCCCAGGTTTAACTGTGCTTCACTTCTCCATCTTTTTACCTTCTCAGAATTAGACAACCAGCAGCAGTCAGAGCCGCTAAACACATCAGTGAACATAAAGAATGACAGAATGACAAAGAATATCAAACAGAGGATATTGTTTTGTTCTTATTCTAGGGTTGATTTGTGTTTGAGGATTTAAGGATACCATGCAAAAAAAAAAAAGCAACAAGATGACTAACACAGTTAACAATGGCATTCTACAAATCAATTAACCGACAAGTTGCACAGCAATGAATATAATACTTAACACAATACTTTAAATCACCATAATTAACCACAACTAATTGTGATCGTATAAACATAACAGGTTTTCTTCATGTCCCAACCCAACCTGGGATCTGGGGACTAAGTGGAATCAATCTCAGAGCCAAAATGTGAGAAAATTTGAAAGCTGGACCTTCAGGTATTGATCAGAAGTGTCATTTGAGCAGAATGCATTCATTATCTAACAATCCCTGTCTTACAGGTAAACCAGAACAGCTGCCAAACTACACCTACAAACCAAAGAAGCTAAATGGAACTAATCCACCTTTTATGTTACGATTAGCACCAGAGCTCCTCTTTCAGTCTGAATGACGTTCTTGTGTCGCAGTTGTTGGCAGCATCTTTATTGTATTAGTCCATTAGCTCACATGAGTCCACCATAGTATGTGGTATGCTTACAGAAATGTTATCATTATAATTTTTATTTTAGAAATAAAAGATGATATTACCTTAAAGACTATTACACAGCCAAAATTCAATATGTTTATTTGGTCAATTTAGAGATTTCTTTTAAATTGTATTTCTTTAAACATAGTAAGAGCAAGGGTTAGATTAGGGTGAGCACCTATACCAAGTTACCTCAGAGTGAAGTAGGTGTCATTGGTTGAGACAGTTGCTGTCGTTAGTCCTTCAGTCTGGCACCATTTTTTGTCTTCGGATTCATCCTTGTCTGTCTGTAGGATACTTAACTTGTTGTAATCTGTGCAGAGCCCATTCCCACATTCAAGGGTGGACTCATATGAGCATGAACTCCAGCCATTCTGTCTGTGAGTAAAGGAAACCTGCAGTATCAGAACAGATAACATGTTAGGAGAAAAAAAAAACAAAACCAAACCCATTCATCTTGTTGTGCAACAGCCTAAAACATTTAATCCACCCAGGACGTTTCCTGGAAGGCTTTGTGTTACAAAGTAAAAAAAATAAGTTGTTGTGAATTCTTCATAATGATAAAAAAGCTACTGTCATATTTTATTTTAATAAATTTAAAAAATAAATCTTAGACTTAGACCAAACATTTAAATACACTGCAAAAAATAAAAGATTAAAAGATAAAAACTATAACTAAAAACCAACAATATTAATTCAGACCACAATCCAAAAAATCAGCACTGATTATATCCACTTCAGAAATTCAGTTATGAAGTAAGTAAAACACATAAACATCAATGTAAATAGGAAATAAAATAACAGTTAAAAGACTGATGGTGGTTTAAGAAAAATGTTTTTTTTAAAAAAAGATTCCAAACAAGTTTATCAAGCCAAAAGAAAACTTTAATCATGTATACTAATATAAAAATACTTTTTTTTACAAGAATCAACAATTATAAAAAATATTAAAAAAGTACTATACCCCAATAGTTCCATCTTCATTCTTTTTCAGTGGCATGAAACTAATGCTGTTTCCATAAAAGATGGGGGAACCCGAGGAGACAGTCCCCACAAAAAGCATCAGCAGTAACAACACAGTTGTACCCGTGTCCATGATGTCTTAGATGAGATATGATCCCACACTGGGCTTGTTCAGTTATTTAGAGTGTCAGAAATGGAAGGGGCTGTTCATAACAGGACTAACCTGATCTGAGCCAAAATAAGACTTGGAATTTTTTTTAAAAAGCGGCCTCGGTCAGCGAGGTTACAGCATTATTAAAGAGCTAATTGTGTATTACGTATATAGAATATATGAGTTACATGGAAATCAGTGAAGTAAATCTACAATACAAAAACAGTAAAATTTAATTCTTTGTCAACAACTCACCAAACTTCCAACGACAAATAGAATATAGTATAACCTTAAGACCAGTATTTCCAAACCAGTATTTTTTGAGCTACAGTAGGCAATTTCTTAATAAAGTATTTATGTCTCTCAACGTTATTGACAATCCAAAAATATAAATGATAAAATCAAGGTCCTTTCTATAGATTCTTAAAAATAAGGGCGTGGAATAACGGAAAAACGTAAAAAAAAAAAAAAAAAAAAAAGTATTACTTGAGGTGAATTTTAACTAATTAAACACGAGTAAAACTTTTTATGTTGTATCTTTGACATTAGTATACACCTTTAAATATTACAATCGAGGACAACCCTAAGACTTCTTAACGTCGTCATTTTTGGCTCGGGCGAGGACCCGTAGTGACATAATTGCTGGAAACTGTCATAGTGGCAAGATGGCGACGGAGCCAAATAAGACTGAAATCCTCACCATTTTCAAAAGATTGAGATCTGTTCCTACGAACAAGGTGAGTTAATCAGGCACCGCTACTACCTGAATGTCTTAGTACAGTCTCACATTTGTCAGTTTGACGTATTCTAATAAAAGCCGCTAGCTTTGCGGGCTAACTATACTCAGCTAGGCCGAGCTATACGGTCAAGTAGCAAGCTAACGGGTTTTGGCTGCCGGTACAACAGGGAAACATAAAGGCCACGTATACGCTTCGTGTTTGTCGATGTGGCTTTAAAGGTACTGCCTTCCGTGTCAATGGTACCTTTAACAAACAGGGAAACTATACAATTAAACGTCAAATATACGAAAATTAAACACTCGTAACGTTTTACTTAGTATTTTGTAGATTTGTCGTTAGCAGGTAGCAACGGCAGTTGCTTTTCATGTCGAACCATATGGGTAAATTGAAAGAGTGTTGGGGTGAATTCTGTTTTGTCTAAAGTGTTTTGTTTAATTTGTATAATGTTTAAAGTAAGAATCAATTACAAAAACTATGTCGTGACTTTGTCGCAGTGACACTACCCTGTTTAAGGGGTGTTATTACGTTAGATTTCATAGGTCAGCAGTGAATTTATTATCTTGGCCCTCAAGTCACGAAAAGTGAAACGATGGGTTTCGGTGCCCGCTAAACATGCACATGTTCTTTTCATTACTAACAAAAGCCATTAAGTATCCATTGTATTTACACAATTGTAATGATTATAGACAGCAACAGAGGCCACTGGTATACTGTATATAAAAGGGTGCGAACATGTTACCATTCTGAATTTGTAGTGAGGCAGTAACAACGATTTTTTTTTTACATTTTGTTTTCCTTCAGGTATGTTTTGACTGTGCAGCTAAAAACCCCAGCTGGGCCAGTATTCCATATGGTGTCTTTTTGTGCATTGACTGCTCCGGCATTCATCGCTCTCTTGGAGTACATCTCAGCTTCATCAGGTATATTTAGCCAAAATGATCACTTTAACTTAGACCCCCATTGATCGGTGTCTTCTGTTTTGTGCTGAAAATTATCCCTTATAAATAAAACACTGTTTTGAGAAATATTCACTAATTTCACACTACATTAAGTAAAAAAATACACATGTAATCTTTTAGCTAAAAAGTGATCATACACTGCATATTAATCCAACCCATTTACTTGTGTTCTCATTGTTATTCTCGTCACACAATGTCATTATTTGTACTGTTGATGAACTCTAACTCGTTTTCCTCCATTTCACTACAGATCCACTGAGTTAGACTCCAACTGGAACTGGTTCCAGCTGAGATGTATGCAGGTTGGAGGCAATGCCAATGCGGTAAGTCAGGAAATTAAAATGGCTGTGATTAGGGTTTTGTTGCACATTCTAACTATAACCAGTGAATAATAAACCCACTGTTTGTGTTGAAGACCGCCTTCTTCCGGCAACATGGCTGCTCTACAAACGACACGAATGCCAAGTACAACAGTCGTGCAGCTCAGATGTACAGAGAGAAGATCAGGCAGCAAGCAAACGCTGCTTTGTCCAAATATGGTTCTGATGTAAGTTCCTTGTAATGTAAATTACTATGCTAATTATATAATTTCCCAGTAATTGGTCTCTGTCAGCTTTAATAGTCTGATTTATGGCTCAGCCACTATTGTATTACACACCCTGAAATAAACAGTATGAAGCGACAGCTACAATATTTACTCAATAGTAAATACTTCATTAACCTTAATAGACCTCAATCACAATGATGGCATTACCAATCAGTATTGTTCTATTAACACAATAATCACACAGGTTGTGCAATTTCGTAATCAAGGTTGACCGAACAGCTGATCACCTGCTGCTGTGAAAAAAAAAATCAGTATTGCAGTCATGTGACTACTAGTGACATGTCAGCAGATCTGTGTCAAAGGTTCTCTTTATCAAGAATAATTTGTTGATACTGTAAGTCATTGAAACTGTGTGCATGTGTGTTTGCAGCTTTGGATTGACTCGTGTGCAGGAGTGACACCTGCTCCTCAAGAGAAGAAAGATACGGATTTCTTTGCTGAACACACACAGGTAATCTAGGTTTTCACGCATTTGTTAATTATAATTCATAACCTGCAAAACTCTGCAATAGCCTATCATTAGGATGACAAAATATTGCCTCTCAAAGTGTTAATAATAACTCGTCCTAAAAAATAGTACAGTTCTTCAAAGTTGGTGTAATTACATGTTTATGCCCTTTTTAGCCTGCAGACTCCTGGAGCATGGCTGTGAACTCTGACAAAGAGCAGAATGGAGCTGCCATCACTCCTCAGCTGTCAGACACAACAACCAAAGTCCAGGATGACAGCCGTCAGTAAAATCAAACTCTTTTCCCTCTTGTTGTTTCTTTATATTTTTCCAATTCATAACAAACATTTTTTATCTAAAATCTTTGAGCTTTACCCCTGCCTTGTTGTTTACTGAAGTGCATTTTTTTTAATAATTTGATTTTTAAAAATAACGTAGAATAAATGACAAGAATCCTTTCTTATTTTTGTAACTTATGATGCTCTAGAGCTCGAGGAAGGGCCAAGCATCGACGGTCTGAGCACGTCACCCAAAGCCTGCATGGGTGAGTTGTTTCCCTTCATTCAGCCTTGTTCTACTCCATCATTCTTGACATGTCTCTCACATCTTCACATATATTTTTCACTGACATTTCTGTAAGTCCATTCAACAGTACAGTAGTAGCTGTTCAAAATATCCACTCATTATGGACGTAAATCACTACTGTAGCTCAGTCACTAAACACTTTTTATGGTTGTACATCTTCACTGTGTCAAGTATTCCACTTTATGGAACGTCTTTATTGAGGCTTTTAACATTGTTCAGTGTCTAGGCCACAACTGGCTATTAGACATTGACATTAGGCGTTGTATATATTTAATCACTTTTAGTGAGGAAACAAGTGATTAGAGACGATCAACAAATTCTTTACATCATGACGTAAATAACAGGGAAAACAGGTTTTGGTCTAATGTTAAAGGAAAAACTTGTTACCAGAAAACTTCTCAGAAAATATGAATGTTTCCAGTAAGTTGAGGGGAAGGAGGGGGTGTCCTCATGTCTCCATGCCAAAGGCATTCTCTTTGGTTGTGTAGTTGCAAGGTTTCAATTATCTTTGCAATGACTGAGTGAAAAACCTGTTTAGATCTCTCTCCTTTGTGTTTTTGTTTTCATTGTGTTGTGATATGACTGAAAGCAGTGGGTAGGGAAACAAAGCCTCATAAGATCACGACACTGCCTCACCTACAGTTGGGCAGCTCATGAATGCAGTTAGAAATCTTTTCAAAGTGTTTGGAATTTGGAAGAAAAACAGACTCTGTCCATTTTTTGGATTTGTAAAAAAAGTAACTGATATTCTGTAGGTAGTCCACATGGTTAAAACAGGCTGATTGCTTTGAGGAAAATATTTAATTGTTATTTATCTTGCTTGTTATTTTAATTGTAAAAAAAGTTGTGATGTAAAACATTTGCTCCATTAATATTAATAATAATAATAGAGAACTGTCTCATAATAAATCACAGACGATCGTCCTGTGAATAATCTTTATCTCTGAAACTGTTGAGTTGTTCATTTATAGTTCAGTTTGAGGTTGTGTGCAGTCTTCTCCATTTGTCTGCCATTTGTTTCACCTTATTTCAAACCAAGTCTTAGAATAATGTTTAGCTGCACAAACACCAAACAGTACTGAGGATATTGGCAGTGTAAAGGTGTGTGAGTAACTGATTCGTTTTTCATTTGCCTCACAGTTGTGATTGTTTACAACAATTAGTACATTCACTTTTTAAGAGCAGCCGTCAACTAAACGACCGACAGTTAAAGGTTGTGTATGTTTCAACATTGACTGTTAGTGAGGAAACTTTCACTAATTGTTTTTTCCCTTTAACCACAAAGTGACTGTTGACTGTAGTGACTGGTTTATCTTGTCCCTCAGAGGACTCCATGCGTTTGTCAACTCAAGACGGACAGATGACTGGAGGTGACTTTACTGTGGCAGTAGCTGTTGATGTTATGGAGGTGACTTTACTGTGGCAGTAGCTGCTGATGTTTGTACTGGCTAGCATTCAGTGGCATGGTGGCCTGGCTTCACTCACATTGAGCTTCTGCTCACTCTGCCTGTTTTCTCTTCTTTGCTTACCATGCAATAGAAGTGTCTAACATTGCAGAGCATATAAAAGTTATATAAACAAATTATTTGTTGCTCCAAGTTTCTCTTTCAATAATTAATTCATTAAAGCCTGGGAATCGTAGAACAGTCTGTGTTACGGTGCAGGAAGGTGAAACATCTGAGCAGTGTCTGGAGGAAGAGTGGCACAAACTCTTGCTAGTGTCAGCGTTTATTAAATGATTAGAAATAATTGTAGCAGTTGTTGATGTCATTAAAATCCTGGAACAGATTTTGTTGACTCAGTGACATTGGTGGTTCAGTGGTTCAGGCTGTTTAATTGAACAGAAATTTGGCACCAATTTTTTAAAATAACAGTCTTATAAATGATCAAGTTACAAAACAAATTTGGAAATACATTATCAGGTGGAATCATGATTGGCTGGATGATGGTGTTTCAAATTTAAAGTTAGTTGTTGTCGTTTGGAATGACTTTGCGGCAGCTCCTCCATGGCTAACCTTACTATAACGTATATAACGAATACTGAGCTTTTCAATCCTGTTTACTAATACAAAGCACGCATGTGCAAAATGATTGGCTGCAGAACTGGCACTACGTGTGCGGGTCAGTTCTAGAATGCAAATTTTATTTTGTTTCAGCAGTGCATGCAATTACATTTCAAAGACAAATTTCCTGGAAGAAAGCCATTGTGATAGGTGAAATACTTAAAATAGCTTAGGTCTCATTCGACAACTATTTGTCCTCATTCTAACTAAATGTACCAGTCTAGTAATTCCCACGAAAAATAATATTTTAAAGCAGTCTGTACACCGGCTTCAGTCTTAAACATAACAGATGTGCTTGGTGTGAAAAATTTCAATTTTATGAACAACCTGAGCGTGTTCACTTTCCAGCTAATTTCATTTTCTCACTTGATTCTAAGTCATATCTTAACCTATTGACACATTGTCATTGATTACAGATGTGAAGCCTTCCATCATTGGAAAGAAGAAGCCAATGGCTGCCAAAAAAGGGGTGAGTCTTGACAATCACCATTCAACCACATCACATCTGAACTTTTCTATAATGCACCAGTAGAAGCAGAGACCAGTCTGAAAAGCCTGTATCCTTGTATGTAACATCTGCTACTTCTCTAATGGAATTTTGTTACAAGTCAAATTTCCAACCTGTTGTTATTACTTATTTCTAAAGGAATCGTGTCTGCCTGTATCCTTGTATGTAACATCTGCTGCATCTCTAATGGGCTTTAGTTACAATGGTCAAACGTCCAACCTGTTGTCATTACTTATTCGTGTCCTAACCTAATCTTAATCAATGTCCCATTTTTGTCACTCCCCGTAGCTCGGTGCTAAGAAAGGCCTCGGTGCTCAGAAGGTGAGCAGTAAGAGCTTCTCAGAAGTGGAGAAACAGGCACAGGTTGTTGAGAAGCTCAGAGAGGAGCAGGCCGCTGAGGCAAAGAAACAGGCTGAGGAGTCCATGTACGTTTTTTCTTACGTATTTGTGTGATTGCCATCTGTCAAATTTAGTTTTTAGTCTGAATTCAGAATTTCAAAAGAAATGCCTTAAATGTTTAATACTCATGTTTGATATGATGTGTTTTAACAGTGTGGCGTCGATGCGTTTGGCTTACAAAGAGCTGGAAATTGACCGGAAGATGGAGGACAGGAAGCTTCAAACCATGGAGGGCAAGAAGAGGGAGCAGGCAGAGAGGCTGGGCATGGGCTTTGGAAACAGAAGGTAGTTTTGAAGCTAGGATGCAAATCTAAAAAGAGCTCTGTTTTTTTTTTTTTTTAAGTCGTGATGCTTTTGTCACTTTTTCCAGCTTTTTTAAGTATAATATGTTTAAAATTCTAATACACACATAACCCAATGTATTACTGAATAGCTTAGTATTGAATGTAAAATAACATTGTACATTAATACATTGCATTGAACCCAGTTTAATATGAAATATTAATTAAATTATGTACAGTGTACTATATATATACTAAAACTAGTAGATCTATAATGGTCTGTTTTTCTGCTTTTAGTGCTGTGTCTCACTCAGTGATGTCAGAGATGCAGATGATCGAGCAGGAAACTCCAGTTGGAGCCAAGACCTCCTCTCGCTCCAAACTGGATATGTATGATGAGCCTGGTTTCACCTCTGGACCACCAAAGTAAAAACACAAAACAAAAAAAACTAAACGTTTGTCGGACTTCTTACTTTTCCGGCTCTTTACCTTATGTCCTCCGGGGATTGAATCTTCCAGGTACAAGGACAACCCCTTCACAGTGGGCGATAGTTTTGGATCCAGGTGGGATACAGAGGGAGGGACTGCCTCCTTCACAACATCCTGGGCTTTGGAAAAAGAAGAGCCGAAAGAGGAAGTCACCATCTCCAGTATTCAGCCAATCGGAGAGAGGTATACAATACAAACATCTAAATCCACTGTATCCTAGCGTTTTGTTGGCTCAGTTCTAATGTGCGGCTCTTTCACCCAGACTTCCCAGCAGAAGAAAAGCTGAGGTGTCTGCTCCGGTTTCAGAGTCCAGTGAGGCCAGACAGAAGTTTTCTAATGCCAAGGCCATCTCCTCAGACATGTTCTTTGGCCGAGAGTCCAGCACTGAGGTAGGAACGCTTACAGTTGTTGTGTTCATTTAAATCAAACTGGAACCATTTGTTGTATCTACAGTAGCTCCAGTCTAACACACCTGTCCTTATTGGGCTCCAGAACCTTCTCTCATGACACTGTATTGATACTGTGACTGCTAACGTCATGTAAAATATCTATAGATCATTTGACTAGTGAAATGTATATCCTGTGCTTACCTCGTGACCTATGTCTGCTGAAGTCTGCTTCTTTTTGGTTTTGGTGCTGTGCTGAATGTTGTCTTTAATCTTCCGTCAGTACGAGGCAAAGACCAGACTGGAGTCCATGACTGGAAGCTCAGCCATCAGTTCAGCCGAGCTGTTTGGAGATGAAGGAGACCACAAAGGTATGAAGAAGGCTCACATAAAAAATGAACACATAAAACTTATCAGTTAAAAACTGATCCTTCACTCTCTATAGATTAAGTCACATATGTAACAATCAACAATTGTTGGATTGTAAGTACTAGCCCAAACATTAAAAATAACTGATGGTGGATCATGTGACTGGATATTTACCTTGAGCCGCAGTTACAGGATTTCTGTACTCACCCTTCGATTCTCCTTCCTCAGGACGAGCCTCAGGCTTGGACAACATGCTTCCCTCTGGCCCTGACATTGCACAGTTCAAACAAGGAGTGAAGACGGTTGCAGGAAAGATGGCCGTCCTCGCCAATGGTGTCATGAATACAATCCAGGTGAGAGATTAACACACACCATCCTGTAAATTCTGTTTTTGGCTTGGCTAGAGCTATAGTAGTACAAACGTAATTTAGAAGTCTAAAACCAGGTTCTGTGTTTGAAGGATCGTTACGGCTCATACTAAATGGACACAGAAACGCGTTACAGCCTGCGGGAAGACGAACCGACATCTGCGCAGAGCCGGCCCGCTTCCTGCAGACGTGACACGTGGACATGACAGAAAACAGAGTGGATGATGCATGAGGAACAGAAACAGTCTAATCGTCCGTCCCTCTTTTCAGAGACACTTTTGACAGGAGTGAGACAGTATTCTCTCTTCCCTTCTCATGAGCAAACTCTTGTTTTATTTTCACAAGGAAAAAGAAAAAAGTTTTGTTGTAAAAAAATCCATCAAGAATTTTTTTGGTCTTCAATTTTCAAAAGAAATTCTATTTTATTCCTTCTTCATAAATCAGTGTTTTTGATTTGTTTTATAAATTCATTTTCACTCTTACACTTTCTTTTTATGGTGATATTAAAAGCATACATTTCTAATTTGTAGAGTTGAGCTGAACCAGAGTCAGTGATGTTTGCATTTAAGTTTTGTTGTTTTCGTTTTTTCCATTTCGTTTTTTCCATTGACGTTCAGCACTGATGACCAGCCGCTGTCTTGTCTGTGAGCACAGACTTGAGAGCTCGTGTCTGAATGAAAGTGAACAGGATTTTGATGATGTCACAGCTGCTGTGATGTGTTCAGTGTTTTTAAAAAGGCACAAATTAGTGTCATACCTCTGATGTAAGGAGTAGGAATCAACAGCAGACCCGAGCTCTTTCATTTACTGTAAAAAAAAAAAAAAAAAAAAGGCTACAGCGTGGACCAGAGGAAAGAATATCTTATCAGAGTCCACAGAGAAAATAATCTTTGTAGCTGAGAAAGACTAGGAGATCACAGAGTCTCTGTCAGCAGTTGATCTCCTGCTTCGAAAGTTGCTGATTTTGTCTTTGTACTTTGGGGCGAGGGAGTCAGCAGTTTAAAAAAACAGGGCCACTTGTGTATTCTGTTAAAGGAGTCTGTCTTTGAAGCTTAGTCCTATTACATTCTGCAGCCAAAGACTAAACATTGTATTAGTCTTTGTCTTCTCACTGGTGGCCATGTTTTCACTAAGTTCCAGCCTGTGCCTCTCTGGCTCCTGACTATGGCCATGTTTTCACTAAGTTCCAGCCTCTGTGTCTCTCTGGCTCCTGACTAGTTTTTTTTTTTTTTTTAGACATTTTCCAACATTCAGACATGAGCTCTATCAGAAGTCCCAGCTCATCAAAGACGACACTGTTTGACTATGCATTTCCATTTTAAACCATTGAAAACACTTGGACATTTGAAGTCTTGGTATGCTTGATTCTGAAGTCTGCCTCAGTTCACCTGCTCTGCTTGTTGTTTTTTTTAGCAACACTTTCTAAAGGCTGCCATCTCCAGTGTTATTTTCCTCAGGAAAAACAAAATCAAGGATGCTTGATAGACATGGGCTGGACAATTCTGAATGAAGTGGATTTTTCTTGTCAATTTAAAAGAAAAAGTTGTATTAGACCCCTAAGACCTAGGTCCAGATTTGATGATGGCAAACATTTGAACAAATGATTTAATACTAAACCCCATGAAGATGATGAAAAAAAAAACCAAAACATAGTTCTAAATTATATATCTATTAGCAGCCTGATTAAGACTTGGTGCCCGGAGAAGAGTATGTTGTAGGATGTGGACATAAAAAACCTTAACTTAAATTATTTTTCCTAAATTCAGTTAGAAAATGTATCATGCCAACCCTAATGTTAGATGTGGAAAAACAGCTTGTTGTTGACCTACCCTTAAGATCTAAAAACAAAAGTGTAATTAGATGTGTGTGGTTTTACAATGACATTTCTTTAGATATTTGTTGTTTTCCTGGTTTAACTGCTGTAGTTCCTTAGTACGTCAACGGATCAGCACCATACTTAATATGTACATTTGATCGATGTCGTCTCTGTCACTGTGGCACAAAGTCGGTAAAAAAATCAGTGATGCATAATGTCTTCAAAACTGCATCTGATCACCTCAAGGGTAATCCTTAACTGCATAACATCCAGTGCTGCATTTACTCTTTACTTGTTTAATCAAAGTGCTCAGGTGCAGGTCTACAAAGAATCATGCTCTTAAAACAATTTGGGAAAGTTACTTCACCATTAGTGTCCCACAGCCAACAACTCCACTGAACCACCGTTTGGAAACCACTGCCTCCAATTCTGTTTTTTATTGTGAGAGGTTAAATATTGGACTTAAAATTGTGTTTTTTTTAGGTTTCATATGTGCTAAAGAAAATAGTATTACTGTCGTTTCTTTGTCCATGAACACATCAGTACACTGGTTTAAAGCAGCGTGTACACATCGATTTAGGATCAGATTTCACTCACATCACCCAACAGCTTAGTCGCACTGTTTTTCACACTCGCCTTGCTTCCTTCCTGGCAGACTTCAAATTAAGCATTTGGAAATTTTTTTTTGATAACATCACTGCCTCAGATTTTGACATCCTGCGTGTCTGACTCACAATAGTCTCTGAGAAAAAGCAGAGCAAAGGATGAAATGTTTAAATATTTATTTGTAGGTGAAGTAAAGAAAGTTATTCAGTATGTTTAAAAAATAAAGATTGGTAAACCTTCACTGTGTTCACATCCTTGACTTTATAAACAAACTTAACTTGTTGAGTTGTGCATCATAAATGAACTAGTGAGCATCAATGCAAACACAGAATAAGACAATCGTAGAATTAAAACAACTTGGTTAGTTCACTTGGTTTGTGCTGCTGTGATTAAAATACTCTTCGTTATGTACATATTTTAGCACTTGACAAACCGGTCATTTAATACATGATGAAAAGAGGATATACCAAAGGCTGACGTCTCCACAGAAAGTCCACGTCCACTGGTGTCACAGCAGCTTCCTGTGTCTCTGACTGTGTGGCTTCAGCTTCAGACCTGACTTTTTCCTCTAGACAAACAGTTCTCAAAACCACCTGTGGGGTTTCATCCCCAGTTGTAGAAGTAGATTTTCTGCCAGGTAGGGAGGTATTCCATCAGAGGTCCTGAAAAAGTACAATCGGTATGAAGTTCACCACAACAGTACAACATTAGTTACCGTTTACTCCCCCAGGATTGAACCTGGAACCTTCTGCATGGAAGGTGATACTTCTTAATACCTTATTCAGAAAAGGGTGTTTGAAATATATTAAATACTGCAAATAAATGTGTGTTTGGTGTACTCTAATAATGAGAAGTTAAGGTATGATAACAGTGGAGTTTTTGATATTTTAATTGTTGCTTTTAAAGGTCAATGAAGTGTCATACATCATCACAACCCGGTACTTACGTGCCACAAGACCAAGGCCTGGAACGTGATTGGCCAGGAGTCTCAGCAGAAAGAGAATCTTTGCTCTGCAGGGTTTTGGAGAAAAAAAAAAGGTCACAAACGTCTACATACAAACAAAGGCTTAAGATGGTATTTAAATACATTAGAAACCACAATCAATTCATCTAAAGACAAACTAAAGGTTACAGGACAGCAGACACAACCAAATATGAAATATATATATAAAAAAAGACAATTAAAAAAATAACCATATGTTGACCAAATATATGTTCATTATTATAATTATGTTTGCAGTAATTTCCTTGGGATTAGTTAAAACAAACTCACTCAGAGAATTTGTCATAAAAAGGTGTCCGCAGAAGGTAGTACAGCAGCAGGAAGCTCCGCCTCTTCATCTCAGCTCTCTCCCAATGGTTCTCAAATTTCTTTTCCTTGAGAACACTATAGCTAAACAAAAATAAAAAACAGAAAACAAGAAAGGTGAAAACAAATCCCTCACTCCCAGAGTTTATAGTCAAATTATTTCCAATACACAATCATTTATTAATCCTGGTCACTGCCACTGAGGATCCCAGCATCTTCATCTCTACCACCTTTTTTTTAGAGGGGACCACACAGCTTTGATGGGCGACACAGGCAGGAGGGTCAGGTATCTGTAGGAGTGTAGCCTGATAGTGGAACATGCACCTTTGTTCACTTGACGTTTGACAACTGCTGTGTGATGTTAAAGTGTTTCCGTCACTCCCACAGTCAGTATGAGAGGAATGCGAGTGGGAAACTAGCCCAAAATAACCAGTTGGTCATAAAACTCTGACAGTAAATAAGGAAACTTTTTTATTGAAGGTTTTATTTAAATAAATGATCCTTTAAATTAATATTTAATTTTCAGATGTTTTAAGGAATTTAACCTTGGGAAAAAAAATGGAAATTTAAAATAGATGTTTTGTGCTTAAGTGTAAGTAAAGAGTATTTGAGAATAGTTTTCATCAGATAGTATTGCTATCCTATGTTTTGTGCTTAAGTGTAAGTAAAGATTATTTGAGAATTGTTTTCATCAGATAGTATTGCTATCTATTTATTTCTCTCTATAACTATGTATTTAGTTCTCTTGTAAAAACTGTCCCATCTCCATCAACTCATTCACAGCTATTGCTTCAAAACCCCAAAGAACGCCAATTAAAAACTAAAACTAAACCTAGAAATCTCACAGAAAAAGGAAATAAAATCAATATTCTGTGAATTTGTTGCATAAAATGTACCTAGAAAGTTCCAGGATTCCAGAAATGAGCCAGGGTTTCCAGGACTGTTTTCCACTGAATCCCATGCAGAGCACTGTAAATGTTTGAGTTCAGGAAATTTCACTTCTTTCTTCATCCTCAATTTTAAAAAGCAGCAGAAATGTATTCATATAACTTTACATGTTTGTGTTAATTCATTTGATGACTATAATTGACAATGATTCTTAACCACCTTTTCACAACCTTCTTAACCTGCATAAACAAACTCTCTCATTCTCTAGATGCATCCACCTGTGTCACAGTGAAACCTTCCTGGCAATACCAGAATAAATTATGCTGCACTTCCTTGTCACTGTCTGGTGTCGTGACAGGTTTGTGATTGTATCTGACACAATACACCACTATCACCTTCTATAGTGATTGACGTTCTAATACCTCGGAAAGTACAGCTTAAGTGTGTGGTTACCTGTAGCTCTTCATCATATACGGTAAATACTAGCAGAACAAGCAGCACCGACGTGTGACCTGTATGTGTGGGTATTCCTGCAGTTTCCCCCCCCCCCAATAGTCTAAAGCATGTACTGATGTGTACTGGATTGGTTTAATACAATGGTCAAATTCTGTGTTTGAGTATTGTACGTGTGGCAGGTAATAGTCATAGCTCCCTATTTCCAATTCTACTCAAATATAAAACCAAAAGAAAAACAAAAATACAAATCAGGGATTTTTTTTCTAACTGTGGCACAACTAAAAATTATTTAAATTTTTGCCTGCCACCCAGATCACTGATGTGACAATTATTTGTTCCTGTGATTATATCTCTGAACAAAAAAACAAAACGAGACACACCTTTTTGGATCAACCGCCACTCTACAGTAGTCCAATTAGTCGCAATTTGACTGTGGTGTTAGGATTATTTTGACAAATGTTCTTTGTTGCAGATGTAATATTAAATATAAAGTGAAACTGGACCAACGTGGAGGAAGGATACGGTGAAGGAGCGGCCGTCCGATGTAGACGGACTCAGCCACAGTCTCCTGGAGGCTCAGTGGAGTCGGCCTGTTGTGCAACACCTCCTTCAAACTGATCTTTTTCTTCTTCTGCGTCTTATGATTCTGTGCTGCCCACATTCGATTCTGCAGAGTGGGACCTGTCCAGTCACAGAGACCAAAACAGACCGAGTCATTAATGAACAAATACATTAAAAAACAGCTGACATTTTAAAAAGAATTGGCTCATTATTTATTATCTAATTTTTAGATTTTTTTTTCAAAAGCTACATCCTGTCAAATTAACATTTTGTGTTTAGTTAGTTATTAAAAAGATTTTTTTCTTGATATTAATGCAATACAGAAAATTAAACAAACACAACAAGATCTACATATGTTCCATTACTGGTTCTTTATAGTTCCAGGAATGTGGTTCCTTCTCAGTTCCAAAACAAGAAAAATACATTTTTACTTCATGCTGAAACATAACAATAAAAAGTTGCTGTCCCGGAACACGCAGGAATAAATATTTATTTAAATAAGACTGACAGACAAAGACATTTGGGTCCATGTTGAACATGTTCTGTTAAACACAGCTTTGGTTTATGCTAATGTAAATGTGATAACATTAAATGCAGGAAAAATGACCTGCAACAAATAAAAAAGAAAGTAAAATCTTACCGCTGGCAAGGGTTCGAATGACTCGTCCTGACCTCTGACCCACAAAGGAAGTTTCATCTTCTCTCTCCTCATTGTCATCATCTGTGGAAGGGAGGGCGCACATTTCCTTAAAGCATTTGCCATTTTGCAGAACTAAATGAAAGTGTACATTTACTCACCTTGCAGTCACCCTTATTACACACATGATTACTAACCTTCACTAAGGTCTGCACCTCTGTCCAGAGGAATTATTGGAGGGGACGTCTGGATGCCTGATTTGTACCAGAGAAGAAGCACCAGTCGGAAAACTGTCCTAATGAATGTGAGGACAGAACTGGATTAGATGAGGGAGGGGCTGATTTGGGTGAATGTAACAGACAGAACCGAAACCTAAACAGTTTATTTGTGGACTCGTGACATACTTAAAAATCTGGATGAGTCCAATAACCAGCCATCGACTGACTTCACCCCACAGTTTACAGGCTCCGATCTCCAGGAACACTTCCACATATTCCAACACAGAGAGCCAGGTGAGGAGTTTCTGATGAGAGATGGTCTGAAAAACATCCCGGTCAAAACAGGAGGCAGCTGTCAATTCCCCACTTAAACTCATTCTATAAATGAAAACATTTGTTGTTTTGATTCTTCTGCTGATACGGTGAATCATGTGGGGGAAAAAAAACTATGTTGCCATTCCTGTTCTCTAGTATTCACAAATGAATTCTACCTGTTCTACCTGAACAACAGCGACACCTGTAGTCAACACTACGCTGCAATTCTTTTTGTTCCCCCAATTTCAGCCTTTGTAGCTGACTTCACCTGTTTAACTCCATCCAACTGATTGTGTGAATAATAATTCACGTGTGGCCTCACCTGAGGGATGGAACATTTCAGTCCTCTGCGTAGAATGCTGTCATTGAACAACACTAGGAGGTTAGAGGCAGAGTACACTGAAATATAGAAAAAAAAGAAATAGCACCACAGGAAATGCAGTTTAATTCTGTATGACATGTGCAGAAAAATCAAAACACACAATAACATTATTTTTCAGAATTACTTTTTAGCTGGGCTTATTTGCCGTGTCGTCAATTAAACAGGAATGTGTAGGATTCAAACTAATTAAGGACTCTCTTAATGACTGAAGCGTTCAGTGTATTTTCAACAAGTGAGACGAACTTGTTCACTTGAATGCAGCATTTAGCACTACTGCGGCGGAACATTTTTATTTACAAAATGACAAAATTGTTAATTTACTTACCAAGTTCAGACAGTTCATGGGAGTCGGCGAATCGACCTACGAAGCAGAATATATAAATAATTATATTTCATCACCATGACCTCAGGAGTCTCAAGAAACACACCTGGGCAGAAATAAATATTTAAAGGACAGAGAGAATTCCAGCATAGGAGTCAAACTGGTCCAACCCAGTAGAAAGTTATTTAGTTATAACACTAATTAAATGAATTAACATATGGGATGTGTTTAGGTCTTATTTAGCGCGAGGCAATAAGTTTCCAGTGTTAAAATTGGGATAATAGCTTATGTATCAAATACATCTCAAGATGGCGTTAATGGAGCAAGGTTCTGCACCACTGACTTTTGTACTACTTTCACTTTTTCTGTCTTTTCTTGCGTGTTTTTAATTGTGCTGCACGGGTTCTGGAGCCAAAATTATTATTAAGCTGTATTTAGAAGGGATCAAATGCTCGAATGTCTGCAAATAAAAATGTTTAGACGTATTGACCGAAATGTATAATTGTCACTGTGGTAAATGAATCGCCTTATGTCTATATTTCTATAGTATTGTCTCATGAAAGTTTAAAATGAACGATATTGTGTTCATCGGGACGGATAAAAAGCTGCCAAAGACAAGGCCAATTACTTTTTTAATAGCTTGGCGGCGCTCGCTACCAACACTGCCTTGTTGCTATTCTCTGAATATCAAGACGAAACGTCCATAGGGTCATAAAGAAACTTTTGCACATCACTCCAACTGAGGACACGCGTCTTTACACCACGTTTCAGTTTTTCGTAAAAACACATCAGTTCAGTCTGGAAGAAACAGCGACATATGCTGACCTGCGATCAGGTACGACAGAGTCCGCACGGTGCTCTCCAGTTGTGCTGTAGCAGTCGGGTTTCTTCTCACGTACTCGATGTAACGCTCATAAATGCGCGTCAGTTTATCGATATTTTCTTTAATGCGAGACATTTGTGCTCACATCAACAACTCACTGGAAAATGACCACTTCATTTACCTAGGGACTACCTAATGCTGGTTAGTAAACAGTATTTGTATAACAACTGCCCAGTTTAAGTACAACCCTGTGCGTCACTGTTTTGTGTCCCCATTTGCACGTCGACTCAACTGCATTAGTTCCGTGTCCAGTGTCATTTTCTTCTTCTTCCGGGCACGTTATTGTTGCATCAGCACTGAGACAACAAGTACTGCAGCAATGTCGACCTCAGCGGAGCCAGGTACTAACACATGTATATTTTCTATCTTTAATATTTATCATACTAACGGAATAATGCCATTTAATGCGTTTTCTAAATGTTACAGTCAGTGTTAGCCTAGGATTGCGAGCTAGGTAATTGTTACCATGTCAGCGTATGTCATTCTAAATCCATTATGGAAATCTACTACTTACAAAGGTTTTGGTGTAAAGATAACGGGAAAACTTTATAAATCTTACAGAACCGCAGTGCGTTTAGTTTGTTGTTGTTATCCCGGAGCTTACCTTATTAAACACAATGGGAAGTGTTGTATTAGCGTCAGTTTTGTTTTAGAGAATACAACAAATAAACATATGGAATGTCCTGATTGAAGTCTTGACGTTTGTGTCCAGTAAAATCCAAACATGTAAACAACAACACCGTAAATGTTACCATGTAATAAAACAATTTCAATGAATTAAAATGTACCGGTAATCAATTTCCTTTTTTTTTCATTGCCTGAATAAGTGCCGATGAACGCTTTCAAATTATAAAGACTATTTTTAAGATCTAATTATTGAATATTTTGTCACCTAGTCAGAGAGAAGTGTTCATCATTCTGTTGCATCATCTACCAAGGAGTTTGTTTTCCTTTCAGTTTTACAACTTGCCCAAAGAATCAAACACCACTAGCAAATTTATAAATTGTTTTACTTCACAATCAAACACCACAAATGGACACCTATTAGATTTTTTTTTCTGGTTTGACAGATATTGTGATGACTTTCTGTTGTGAATTTAGGAGACATATCCTGCAGCATCATTAAATCAATGTTTGGAGCATCATCTGCTTTTACAACTGGCCTGATTTTTCTTTTCATGGAAAAGTTTGTCCTTAAACAATTATTGTCTGTTCCTGTTCTGGTCTCTTTGCTACTGACAGGATAAATAACCACAAAAGCATGGGCTTTTATGTGGTTCAACCTCTTGCTGTTGTTGTGGGTATTGTCGCGGCCCCGTCGGTAATTCTTTGCGAACATTTGCCCTCTTGTTTTCTGCAGCCTTTGAGTGTGGCTTTCTGCTGGGAAGCCACGCTGGCCGCAGCTCTGAATGACTACCTAACCTCACGCAGCTACTTGGCTGGATACTCCCCCTCCCCGGCCGACTACAAAGTTTTTAGGCTCCTTCCCAGGCCCCCCGGTCCGCAGTACGTCCACGCTCTGCGCTGGTACAGACACGTAGCCGCCCTGCAGGACCTCGCCTCTGAGAGCAGCAGTGAGTAGACAGTCTGAGGCACAGAAAGTCAGGCTGTTGTCCCATACTGGTCAGCTCTGACAACAAGAACGAGTGGGGTCCAATAGACAGGACCCTCTGAACTGTGTGGACCTGCAACTTCACTGACATGCATGAAGTCGGTGCTGCCTTGTTATTATTTAACTGTGATTTGTAAGTGGGCATGTGATGCCTCTAGCTGACCATGACAATGCTTTTCTGAGCAATTGTTGAACTTTGTTTGGACATTTGAAGTAAGACGCTACTTTGTCATTGCTCAGTTTAACTCATCCGTCATGAGGTTCTTTGTCATTGCTCAGTTTAACTCATCCATCACGAGGTTTTATCCCAGTGACCTGCGGAGCGTTGGTGGCTAGTTTTCTAACAAGAAGTAAATTGTTTATTTTTTCAGACCATCATTACTGCTCTAAGGTAGTAAATGAGGATAATGGTTTCTTAATTTGTAGCTTGATTAGTTTAGAAATAGACAACTGGACTGGCTTGGTTGAACTGACAGTTGCCTACTTCTAAAGTTCGTCAGATAAAACGACCTGGATGACTTGGTTATTCAATGTTACAAGTACTTTGAGGACACTGTGGTGCAGCATGATCTCCAGCAGTAGATTCTTTGTTTTGTCTGTGTTTTTGTTTTTCTTTAACGGAAGCTGACTTCTCGTTTCCCTCAAACAGCCCTGTTTAAAGTCTCTCGTTTGTCTCTTTCTCTGTTACTAAATGAAGCGAAAGGGAAGCGGGTTCAGCCACTCTGGTCTCCACCAACAGGAACAGATGTTCCTCAGCTTCACCTCTACAACAGCCTGACAAGAGCAAAGGTATGCTACAGAGTTTCATTAAATAATTAGTGGTAGCTTGTGGTAGCTCTTCATTCTTCTAACTCGCCCTTTGTGGGTTGCATACAGAGTACTGGTAATGCTGTCACAACCAACAAAAAAGTGTTTCAACTAGCAAAAGCCAATAATTTATTATTACTTTTTCATGAAGAGACAGCAGTGATTTAGAACAGGCAGCTGTCCTCACTGCTGTAGTTCTCTCTCAGGCTCCGACCCATGGGCAGCTTAAACAAACTTCTTCTTGTGTTCCAGGAACCATTTGTACCTCAGAAAGGAAACAATGTCACCTGGTACTGCTGTGGACCGACAGTCTATGATGCCTCACACATGGGACACGCCAGGTAGTCGTCATCAACTTGTTCAGGTTTGTTGTACTGTTCTGGTGAAAAAAGCCCTTTTATAATTCTGTTTTTTTTTTTTTTTTTTTTTAGATCCTACATCTCCTTTGATATTCTACGACGTACGCTAAAGGACTACTTCAAATACGATGTCCTCTACTGCGTCAACATCACAGACATTGACGACAAAGTGAGTGTGTTTTATAAATGGACATCAACGCTAACTTTCACTAACTTTGAAACAGAGATAAAATATTTTCGTGTTGATTTGTTTTTCCAGATCATCAAACGTGCTCGACAAAACTACCTTGTAGACCAGTACAAGCAGAAGCTCCCACAAGCTGCTCAGATACTGCAGGACGTCCTCACAGCCAGAGAGGTGAGAAAACACACGTAGTTTTACTGTGAGCTATGAAAAGATCCCGCCCTTTTCCTTTTGTCTAGCGCTGTAGGATTAGTGTTAATTAAAATTTCAGGTTTGGCAACATATTTGAAATTATCTATTGGTTTATTATTTTTTTTCACTGTAGAGTGAGACTTAAATAATGAAAATAATGTTATTGTGATGTGATTCATATTTAAACCAATATTTAAATATAGCAATAAGTGAACAGATTTTAAAAACTTCTTTGTGCATGTGTGGTGCTGTAATAGCAATAAGTGAACAGATTTTAAAAAGGTCTTCTTTGTGCATGTGTGTGGTGCTGTACTTTGGTTTTTAGCCATTCCAGGCCAATTTAGCATCGACCACTGACCCAGACAAGAAGCAGATGCTGGAAAAGCTGAACACGGCTGTTGATGCGGCTCTAAAACCTCTTCAAGCAGCAATGGAGAGTGGGGATGGAGACAAACAGAGTCTGGCCGAGGTAGAACCTAAAAGTCATGTCAAATATCTACTCAGATCTGAATTTAAATCCAAATGTTAATGCAGGAACATATAAATTTGAATTAGCCTCAAGGTATTTTGTTATTGTTCCAAAACCAATTTACACCAAACTTTACTTGGAGCTTTTTTTTTAAAATGCTGCAGCGTGACAGTGTACCAACACTACACATTATTAGTTATTATTATTATCAGTCCATAAAACTGTTTGCCAGTTTTGCACAGAACCCAGTTTGGTTGTGATCATAGTTTCTCTCCTGTGAAGGTGCTGTTGGAGAACGCCAAAGATATGCTGGCTGATTGGTTGGACAAACAGTTTGGAAGTCAAGTAACGGAGAACTCCATCTTCTCATTGCTGCCTAAATACTGGGAGGGAGAGTACCACAAAGACATGGAGGCTCTGAATGTAAATGAAATCCTATGACAGAAATGGAGATTTTTTTCAGCCAGTCAATCTTATTTCATCTCCCTAACGATTTCTCTCTCCCAGGTTCTGGCCCCTGATGTCCTGACCCGGGTCAGTGAGTACGTGCCAGAGATTGTGGACTTTGTGAAGAAGATCATCTCTAATGGTTATGGGTGAGGAAGGGAAAAAAACAAACTTACCACACAAACTGTCTGGATTTGTTGAGGTTACATTCGCTTCTTCGTTCCTTCAGGTACGAGTCCAATGGTTCAGTCTACTTCGACACTTCCAAGTTCGATACCAGTTCAAAGCACTCGTATGCCAAACTGGTGCCAGAGGCTGTAGGAGACCAGAAAGCTTTACAGGAGGGAGAAGGTAAAATGTCAGCATTATTGTCTTAATTGAGACCATAATTGTCAGTGTGTTGATTGGCCTCATTTCTGAAACTGCTGCCTCAACATGAACTGCAGACTCACCTTTAATATAACTTCATCCTGCAGGTGACCTGAGTATCTCTGCTGACAGACTGAGCGAGAAAAAATCCCAGAATGACTTCGCCTTGTGGAAGGCGTCCAAACCAGGGGAACCATCCTGGGATTCTCCATGGGGGAAGGTGGGACATCATACTGCTGGTCGTCTGTAACAATGTGAACAACAAGAGAAAGTAGTTTTTATTGAACACATTTTGCCTAAATGTATTTGACACATGACATGAAAGTGAAATTAGTGAATGTATATATATCAATATTATATTATAATATTCATGCAACAAAGTACCACAGCTCATGTTTCACAGTTACTATGGAAGACCAGAATAGATAAATCGCACATTAGCCAGTTACTATGGAAGACCAGAATAGATAGATAGCAGATAGATTCGCTTTTTTTGTCTGCAGTTCATCTTGAACATTGTTGCTGCCTTTCCTGTTGTAAATGTGTCACAGGGACGTCCAGGTTGGCACATTGAATGTTCAGCTATGGCTGGTTCAATCCTGGGAGAGTCTATGGACATCCATGGAGGAGGGTTCGACCTCCGGTTCCCCCATCATGACAATGAGCTGGCTCAGTCCGAGGTACGCAGTGTTTGAAGTCGTACACAACAATTTGAGGGAATGCGTCAGAGAGGCCTTTAAATTCAGAGCTATTTTTTTTTCTCTTGTCAGGCTTACTTTGACAACGACTGCTGGGTCAGATACTTCCTGCACACTGGGCACCTGACGATCGCAGGCTGCAAGATGTCCAAGTCTTTGAAGAACTTTATCACCATTAAAGACGCTTTGGCAAAGAACACAGGTATGACATCTTGATTTAAAATGTTGCACGGTGGACAATCGGAGCAGGAAGCTGCAGTACGCAGGTGTGAAACAGAGTCTTCCTGTTTGAAACCAAATGAATCACACTTTAACTGGATTAACTTTATAAGCAAACAATCTAAAAGACTTCACAGAATCACTGCTTCTGTTGATCAACATTAAGATGGTTAGTAACATGACAAAGATGTAATACAAGGGACACGCCTAAACACCAACAAATACTGTATACATTTATCCTTACAGTAATGACATGAGCCATTTTATATTAAGACGTTATGCGTTTTTTCTTCAGCCCGTCAGCTTCGCCTGGCCTTCCTGATGCATTCTTGGAAGGATACTCTGGATTACTCCTCAAACACCATGGAGTCAGCCGTCCAATACGAGAAGTTCATGAATGTAAGTGTTCTGTTTTTGACTGTTGTTCTATTCAGCTGGTTCTAGTTAGTTGATTAGCGTTCACTTCATGATGTAGTTTATTTTTTGTATTTTTCTTAATAGGAGTTCTTCCTCAACGTAAAAGACCTCCTGCGGGCTCCTACTGACATCACAGGCCAATTTGAGAAGTGGGAGGATGCAGAGATGGAGCTTAACAGCAGGTAGGTGCTCAGGTGGTTATGAACATACACTGGTGTGAGGAACCTCTCGTGTCATCAAGAGGTTTTTGTGGACGTCTTGCTTAGCATTTATATTCTTTGTTTTCCAGCTTCTATGACAGGAAGTCTGCCGTCCACAAGGCTCTGTGTGACAACATTGATACCCGCACGGCCATGGAGGAGATGAGAGTTCTGGTTGGCCAGAGCAACAGTTACATCGCCAGCCGGAAAAGCGCTAAGCTGAGACCAAACCGCCTACTGGTGGAGAGCATCGCCGTGTACCTCACCAACATGCTGAAGGTCACATTTTATATTTCCACAATGATTTAGATGATTAAGGTTTAGTACCAGAAGTGCTGCACTATTGTGTACTTACCACAAGTGGCCAGTATAATCTAAACCCAAAGGTTAATGGATGTGTCTGAAATTTTTTTGTTGGTACAGTAGATAAAAAAAAACCCTATTCTGTTTTTTATTAAAGTTTTGTTTTTGTTTTTTTTGTTTAGATATTCGGTGCCATTGAAGGTTCTGACCCTATAGGTTTCCCGATGGGAGGACAAGGTCAAAGTGTTGACGTAAGTAACGAGACACATTAGTTATGCATGCATTTGTAAATAATAATAATAATATAAATACATCAATGTGTTTGGTCATGTGTTCTATAAGGTCAAAATTGATTTGGATTACGAGTTTCATGAACGGTACAAAAACAATTTCTGTTGTTGTTTTTTTTTCCAGCTGGAGAGCACAGTGATGCCGTACCTCACAGTGCTGTCAGAGTTTAGAGAAAATGTCCGGAAAATTGCACGAGAGCAGAAAGGTAAGAGTTCAGTTCTGTGACATCAATGGAATCATCCTTCATCACTTTCACTACTTCATCACTTCTTCCTGAGCATATCATACTTAAAGTTGTTTTTTTTTTTAACTAAATCTGATCCAGTGACAGAGTTGCTGCAGCTGTGTGACGTAGTTCGTGATGATACACTACCAGAGCTCGGAGTCCGCCTGGAGGATCATGAGGGTAACTGCGCTCCATGTAGATTTTGTTAAATGCTATAAATTAGCAGTGTGACTCATCAAATAAATGATGCTGTTTCAGGATTGCCCACAGTGGTGAAACTGGTGGACAAGGAAACATTACTGAAGGAAAAAGAGGAGAAGAAGAAGGTAAGGAAGGAGACGGGACATCTCTGCACTAAAGGGACATTTCGGGTTTAATAAAATGTATCATGAAAGATCACGTTGAACTGTGAATCCTTTCCTCATAGATGGAGGAAGAGAAAGTGAGGAAAAAGGAAGAGGCTGCCAGGAAGAAACAGGAACAAGAGGTCAGTCTAATGGTTTGATGTGCAGATGTTTTTCTTAGCCCGCACTATTTTAATGTACGGTCATGTTAAACATTAAGCCATTCATTACATGTGTTCTTTTTCTTCTTCATTTCAGATGGCTAAACTGGCCAAAATGAAAATTCCACCATGTGAATTGTTTCGCTCAGAGACAGACAAATATTCCACATTTGATGAAACGGTAATTTTTACTAGTTTTCCCTTTAGTTTTGTGCTTCTCTTAGGGCACTGCAGGTAAAACAGTCCTAAAGATTTTTTTCTGTCCACATTTGTTTTTTAACTTAATTTTTAAGGTTTAATTGTTTGTGTCTATCATTGTTTTGTACAGGGTTTCCCCACACATGATGCAGAAGGGAAGGAGATCAGCAAAGGACAGGCAAAGAAACTTCGAAAGCTTTATGAAGCCCAAGAGAAACTTCACAACGACTATCTGCAGATGAACCACAATGGAAACTGATGTTTTTTTTCTCCCTTTTTTTGTACAAAAAGCCATCCTCCAATAGAGTTTAATACTATGTGAATATTTTCATCATAATGACATTCTTACAATTTAGTTCAAAGAACTCATTAGCTATTAATTTTAGGGAAATATGAGACAGTTTTGTTAATCACAAACATCGGAATCATGAAGACTACAATGTAAAGAGTCACCTGATCTCATCACATCAGGTGTGTCATCAGGGAGTCAGCAGTGACCGTGAGGAGGAGATGAGAAGTCAAAATTAAAAAAATATTTCCCTCACATTTATAGTGTTTTTACAAATCACACTTTCCAGTCTTTTGTATTATCATGTGCAAACCGTTCTGTTCTTTGGACTTATTTTTCAACCACTTCCTACATATTTTTCTAACCACGTGAAGTGCAAAGTGAGTGATCTCACCTGACATTATGGTCTTTAAACAGGAACACCTGTGACCCAGAGCCCTCAGGACTGTGGGTCAGAGAAGCTGTTAATGAGTCTCCATAGGATTTTTACATTACACTGTTAACCATAACTTTTCATATTAAAGAATTAATATTGATGAGTTTTGTTTCCACCAGTTGGTAAAATCAAATGTGATGTTTTTCATTCACGCCACCGCCTGAGCTTCTTGGAACTTTAGATAATGAAGGACCGCGATGTTTTTCTACATCTATGAAATGCTACACTCTGGTTGATAGTAGCCGGAAAGTTGTTAGCAGGTGGTTTCAGTATTAATACTTCATTCAGAAAGCTACATTCAGACTGTTGGTGGTCAGTATTTAAACAACTTACGAGAAAGTCGACTCACCTGCGTGTAAACTCCTCAGGATACAGTCAAAAAAGAAGGGTAGAGCTTTGGCTAATTACGCATCAGTGCAAAGACCAATGGGAACATTCCTAGCTAACTTGTGATTGGTCAGAGCCGTCTACTTTAGAATCTTAAAACTTTAACGGCTGGCGCTACAACGCCAAACGGCTAAAATAAAACAAAAATCCATCCCTTTATATCCGTATTTTACCGGATGTTGCCTGTGACTTGGTAAAAGTAACTCATGCTAGTTGTCAATAAAGCTGTTCACGCAGAAACTCTGTTTGGAACATTACTTTTTCCGGTAGTTTATTGTTAAAAACGACACCCGGTCCTTAGCGTCACAACCTGAACGTTAATTGTTGTTTCGTCGCTTTGCGTGGCACTGTGATAGAGTGGTGAACACTGCCCTCATCTGTTGCCTGCTGGAATTGGCAGAAATTCCTTGGTTATCGACAAAAGAAATGGAGCTCTATTCTTTAGCTTTTGTCAACCTTCAACAGACTGGTTATGTTTTTTTCCAAAGAATGTAACGTGTTGCAGGATAAAATAACAGAAAATATTTTATCCAATAAAATGTCTCTACCATCAATAGAAGAATAATACATGTGTTTACTTGAATTTACATTTTGGAAGTGATGTTACACTTCCGTTAGTTTTCACATAAACATTTGTAATTTTAGTACTTATATAAGGCACATTTTAAATAAAAAAAATTTAACAGGTGTTTTGGGTGTCGTTGGATTTATAGATATAAGCAATGATTTCCAAATGAACATTTAATATTGTATTTTGTAAGAAAATCAGTTGATTTGTTTGCATGTCCAAATACAGGACACTTTTATATGACATTTTTAGACCAAATTAAACCTTGTGCTGATATATGTTCAGTTAATCTCATGAATTATAATGATAGTTTATTTAAAGAGTTTAAAATTAACAACTTTAGAATAGTGTAGAGAAGTGGTGTTGAAAAATATCCATCATGTTTTTGTTACTGTCAACGATTATCTTTCAATACATGGAAACAATGAAAAAGTCTAGGTCATCAAATCAAGGAAAAAGCTCAACATTTTAAATTAAATGGCATTTTATTGTCAGGTAAAAACAGTAGGTGACGCTAGGTGGCAGTCGTGTTGACTGTGTCGGTTTTAGGTGTGGGTCAGTTGAAGCGGATACGACGCATGGAGCCGATGGTGTTGTTCTGACTGCCCCAGTCTGAGAAATTGTTGTAGTCACGTTTCTCGAGGATGTAGTGAGGGCCCCTGTAGTTTGGCTCCTGGTACACCACCCATCTACACACACATGCACACACACAAATACACACAATGACTACCTCCACACAATGGTGATTGTTCTATTTCATGTTGTTCTATCACATCTGTCTCTGTCTTTCTTTCTGGTTCTATGTAGGTAACTTGGGTGACTCTGTGCACTTACGCTCCCCCCAGGACACGGATGGAGGCGACTCTGTTGAGACTGTAATGGTTCATCATGTTGGGAATGTCATCCTGTATTTCCATTTTTTTCCCAGTGTATCCAGCTCGTTCAAACAGCTGAGCTCTGGCAGGATTGTTGTCCTGAGAGTTACAAAATGACAAAATGAGCAAATATATATATTTACATATATATATATATATATTTTCAACTACGGGAGAATGTTTCAAATCACAAACTTGTTTGTGTGCCTCACCTGTTTGATAGCACGCACAGAGGACACATGGTCGACTTGAGCACACCACTTGTCGTAGCAGTTGTACTCTCCCCTGTCAGACATGTCCCACAGATACTGACGTCCCCTGAAGTTCTCATGCTCGTAGCCGATCCATCTGTCAAACACAGGGAATACAAGTCAGACATGACCTGGACCCAAATGGTAAAAGAAGTCAACGAGTCAGGGGATTTGGGTAGGAGTGAAAAGTAGTCGTGAATGATTTAAGGCCACTGGTCCATCAGTGGCTTTAATGGTAAGTTAACACTCCACAGAAGTAACACTTCTGATCTAAATTATTTTGGCTTCAGTGAACTGACAACTGCCTGTGTCTCAGTGTGAAATTGTTGTTACGATTACATACTGTAGCTTAATAAAAGAAATTTAGTAATCTTAATATTACGTGTGTTTATTTTGTGTGTGTGTGTGTGTGTGTGCACTTACGCTCCACTCTCCACCTGCACTGAGTTGCATCTCTCAGGGAAGTTCTTGTCACTAATTCTGGCACAGTCAGAACTCAGGTCCAGTCGTCGGCCGGCAAAGTTCCTCTGCTCAAACAGGGTCACCTGAGGTCAGACAAAAGACATTTACTTTTTCAAAAGTTTGCCATTCAATAGCTATGTCACTTTGAGATGTATTTTATTATGTGCAGATAGGCCGAAATACATTTAACAACAGCTTAATAAACATCACATTTTTCAACGTATCCTGACTCACCCTGCCACTGGACCCGTAGAAGGCACGTTGGAGCACAGACCCCAGCTTGCTGCAGAGACAGAGGCAAAAATATCCAGTGATTATTGGCAGTCATTTGTCACCAACAAGTAAATTATTACTTCAAACAGATTGCAGAACCATTCAGTAGACATCTCAAGTATGAGAATATTGGATTTGATTTGAAAAAGAAAAAATTGAAAGAAGATTTTTCATTTCAAATATTCAAGTATGAGAATATTGGATTTGATTTTTCATTTCAAATAATACAAAGTTTAAATGATTTAGTCCTGGCTATAAATCTGTGTGTATGAATGACTCCAACCATCATCACACTGCAGGTGAGTTTAGGTTAAAAAAAGTGTCACTGTGTAGGGACGCTCCCTGCCCCAGAGATTAGCTGCTGCTCAGCTCTGGACATACCTGGTTTGTTGGGCTAATCCTGGGACCTTGGTAAAGATGTTCATGTCAGCTCAGTGAGGACACGAGAGAGACGCTTAAATATGTGGGCAGGAGAACATGGACAGGTGCTAGAATGCTCAGGTGAATCTGCAGCTGCAGGAGCCGTGACTCTGGTACACATTGTTATGCTAATGCACACTCAAACAAACACACAAACACACACTCAAACACCAATACAACCTGCGTGTTCCAGCATTCGCCACACAGATTCTGACACTTTACACACACACTGAGAGTGCACACTGAGCACAAAAACATACAATTGCACTGACACACAACAGTAACATGTGCCTTTGTGTACACAATGAGCCTCAGACCAGCCTCCAACCAGCATTCTTCCTTTTCTCTATTTTTTTAAACAATGCTCATGATGCTCATGACTGTATGCAGGCTTTGTCCAGATCCACCTGAACTTGATGCTGCATTTACCGTGGAGGCCATGACCCCGAGGGGAAGCTTCTCTGTAAATCACAGCAGCAACTCACCTGTCTCTGTTTCACTGTATCCCCAGTTGTCACAGTTCATATCCTCCCTCAATATGTCAATTAAATATCTCTTCCTCTTGCTTATGTGCGTTTCTCCAATTATGTTAATGATAACAATTTTAAAATGTCAAATTGAACTCTTTTCTTATCTTTTGATTCTTCTAAATGTTGCATTTCCTGGTCTGCTTCCATTATCAGGTTAGTCTGAAACAACCTTTATGTACATTGTCATGTACAAGTCAAAATTCTTTAGATTTGCCTAAAAACACAAGATAATTTGACTGATAATTTCTAAAAGACAATTAAATGCTGATTTTAAAAAGAAAGAAAAATCTGCAGATACAGCATGTAAATCATCTGATGTAACATAACATTATTATTATTATTATTAGTAATAATATTAGCGGTAGTAATAATAAGTGTGATTAGTTTATTACTATTATGAATTATTGTATGAAGTCATTTTAACGCAGTTTGAAGATATTCCAAGTAGATTTTATTTTGGAAAATAGTTTTTTTCCCCCTTCACACCGGATGTTATCCTAACTTTTTTTTCTTACACACCGGATGTTATCCTAACTTTTTTTCTTAAACACAGCTGCAACGTCAACTTCAGCGCGTACGGACTGTTTATATCAGGTATGGCTGCATATTAACTTAACATTAAAAAGTAACACTCTGTATAAATCAATGAGGTTGATGACTTGTGAGTCTTGGGTTAATGTTAATGTGAGGTTGCCCCACTGACATCAGTTATACCTTTCATGGTTGTTTATATAGCATCTTCTCGCGCTATAGTGGAGTATACGAGAGCATCGTCGATGCTACTTTTGAATTAGTTTACAAAGGAGTATACGAGAGCATCGTCGATGCTAAAGATTAACTTTGAATTAGTTTACAATTATTGAAAGAGAGATATATTGAAAGCTGTAGTTTCGCCAAGTTCATGTGACTTTCGTAAAGTAATACAAATTCAGTTTTACATACGTTTTTGTTGGATACCGCGTTGGTTAATTTTACCGCCTTCCAGTGGCGGAAGTTGTCATCCAACTAGGAAACGCCGCAGTCGTGATTATGTCAACATCGTCGCCATATTGGTTAGGGCAGAACTGGAACTCAGACTGAGAAAACTAGTTGTTTTTAAGAAGAAGAAAAAACACAAGAACGTTATACATTTTAAAATATTTTACAATTACATTTTATTTATACCACACAACCATACAACCATAAATGCTGCCAAAAGATAATATTGAATAAAAATTAAGGTGGTCATATTCAGAAAGACCTTGTCTAAGGTAACCTAACTGTTTTTCAGAATTTTCTCACAATGGTTAAAAGAATCCGTCATAACATTTCTGACAACGAGGGTTCTGAGGATGAAGCGCTGTTTCCACTCCCACCTCCTCACTCCCCGGGTCAGACAGGACAGGATGAGGGAGACCTAATGTTAAACGGTGAGATGTCGTCTGTGTGTGTGGTGTGTTTCTAATTAGAAAATGTTGATTGGTCACATACTGGTGGGACTGCAGTTTACAATGATAATTGTCTTTTGTTCTTCCTGCTGTTACGTTAATACAGATGATGAAGGTGGTGACGTGTCCAAACTGGCTGATGTTCCTGTTGCCAAAAGAAAAGTAGTGAGACGGCCGCAGCCCAAACTGGACTCTCACAGGTACTTGACGTCGCAGTATTCCGTATTTGTTCTTAGTCAGTTATTAGAATACCTGTTAGATCCAGTGATATAATAGACCAAACTGGACTCTCACAGGTACTTGACTTTGCAGTATTCCGTATTTGCTCACGGACATGTTCTTAGTCAGTTATTAGAATAACTAGTTAGATCCAGTGATATAATAGTCAAGGCTGTTTAACTGGACCACTCTATGTTCAAGTACAACAGTTTTAATATAATGTGACACTTTCCTTCAGACTGATCTCTGACAGAGGACTTCCGTCTCTGAGAACTATGTTTGACAATGTCCACTTTAAAGGGAAAGGACATGAGGTAAAAAATAAATTGCAGACCATAAACTGCTATAGCTTCATATTTTCATTTGGAACATTTTTTTTAACCAAACGTCTGTGTGTTTGTACCAGGCAGCAGACCTGCGGCTGTTGATGCAGAAGATGGAGAATTGGGCTCACAGGTTGTACCCAAAGTTACAGTTTGAAGACTTCATCGACAAAGTGGAGAAACTTGGAGCAAAGAAGGAAGTGCAGGTTGGATGACAATGCTGGTCCAAGGTTTTTTCGGGGAACATTACCAGAACTACTGATTATAAAATAACTTGTCTGCATTTACAGACTTGTCTTAAACGGATCCGTCTGGACATGCCACTGACACATGAGGATTTCATTGGTAAAGATGGTGAGAGACTTAACACATTTACTGCTCCTGAATACGTTCAGATAAAAACAGAAATGTAGACAAATGTAGTGTAAGAGTATGGGCTGAAGATGTGTCCTTCATCTGCATCTACAACTGAATGGATTTTGATGTGTCCTTCATCTGCATCTACAACTGTATGTACAAAATGGATTTTGTTTCATCTCAGGTGAAGACACAGATCAACCTGAGCCACGCGTGTTTGAAGATGCCGACCCGTTTGGCGAAGTCAGCTTCGTAAACGAAGCACCAAGGCCGATCTATTCCACACCTGTAGCTGCTGCTCCACCAACTCCGTCTCCTGTTGTTCCTTCCTTGACTGAGGAGCAGCGCAGACGCATGGAGCTGAACAGACAGCGAGCACTGGAGAAGAGGATGTCTCGTTGTCAGCAGCCGTTAACAGGTGAGAGGTGATTTTGTACATCAGTGATTTCATTATTTTGTAGCAAAACACATTTAAAATAAGCAGCACCACTATTATTGGTTTAAAGCGGGTTCTCAAACTCCTGGTTTGAGGGCACTTTAAGCCCACAAACCCCTTATATCTGGCCCAAAGCTGGTCAATAATAAAAATACTTTTTAAAACCAAAGGAAAGCAGATGGCAATGTCAAGAATCGGTTTGAGGGCACTTTAAGCCCACAAACTATATGTATATTTGTTTTTGTTTAGCCATAAAAACAGCTATTTTTTGTTAATTAAAATGTTAAGGTAAGTTAAGAATGTATACATTAAAAGAATATAACATTCATATCAGATCTAAACAAAAACCTTTTTTAAAACTTTAAATCATTAAAAAGTATTGCTTTACTAAATTAACCATCTGCATGTCCTTGCAGCCACATTGGAGAATTGAAACTGTTTCTTTATCAGAGTATATACACAAAGATAGATATTTTTTATTGTAAAAAAAAAAGTCATAGTTTTGCAGGAACTGCAGTGTAATCCATTTTCTTTCCCCTCACTTCAGACTCTCAGAACAGTAGTTTTCCGTCAACAGCCGAGGAGCCCATGTCCTCCTCTGAAAATGTCCTCACAGATTTAAACAACCAGATGGAGTTGGAGGAGGAGCTGGTGTCAGTCCCCAAGCCAACCGGACTATCTCCTCACAAAGACTCTGACCCTTTAGATAAATCTGAACTCCACCAGGAGGAAGAGGAGGAGAAACAGGAGTCAGAGGAACCTGAGTCTGTGACACAGTCGCCCTCCGAGTGCAAACTTGAAAAGACTTTGGCTGATTTCACTCAGCTGAAGGAGGTGGAGGAGCCAGGGGAGCAGGAGACTTCTATACATACTCCTCAACAAGATGCCATAGTTTCGTCCGAGTCGACTCAAAATGGGGAAGAACAAGATGAGGAAATGACTGCGTCATAAATCCTTTAAATCGAAGCAGCAGCTCATTTGGCGAGAGAACCATCTGGAGACACATCTAGATCTTTTTCGTATTTGTTGTTTCCTGTTTGTTTGTCTAAAACTGATACTGTTGAATATTTGTCATTACATTTTCTCTGACATGTATCCAGCAGCTTTACAACGGAATACGATTCTAATTATAGTGTTTGTTGTTAGGTTTAAAAATGAATGTCTATAAACTGGACCATTATCACATCTTTAAATGACATGTCAGACTGTCTCCATCCAAGTACTACGAAACATGGTTTCTTTACATACATTTTTTTGTAAAATTTATATTTTTTGGTTGGTCCAGTCAGTCACACATTGCTTTGAAATTCAAAGCTATTGGAAATTTAATTTTACTTCTTTGTCAGCGACACCATGTTATTGTTATGATCAGTTTTTGTTTGTCAAATAAATAACATAATAAAAAACCCTAGTGTCACTTTTTAATTTTGTTTAACAATTTAACAGCCATCATTCAGGAGCTTAAGATTCCTCTAAAGACTAATGATAAAATAATTCCTTTTGTAATAATAATAATTCCTGCCTGTAGGAAAAATCTCTCTTCGCTAATTCACTGCTGCTTCGGTTAATGAGTGAAATTGCTGTTGAAAAACTCTAAGCTGCAGCTTCTTCTCCAGAGGCAATCCAGTTCAGGAGTCTTGTAAATTAAAAATGAATCCCTCAGTTTCTGATCTATGCTGTTGTCGCACAGACCTGACCAACCATCTCTAGGTCCATCAGTGCCAGCTCTCGCACCTCCTCCAGCAGTGAATACAGATTCGGAGTCTTGCTTTGGCAGAATTCCCTCTCCTCCCTGGAAAATTTGGAGCGACGAGCCTCCTTCTGTTGGGCCTGCTGATGCGCCTCCTCGGCCAAACGCACCACCTCCCGCACCAGCTGACAGCGGGCCTCAGTGTGTGGTTGTGCAGGCTGAGAGCTCTGGTACGGTTTGTTGCTGATAATCTCCAGATGTATGCGATCAGCGTGGCAGTGTGACGAGCTGACGGAAATACGAACCTGTGGAAGGAAGATGATGACATCATTTAATTAAAAATCCACCTATGGATCAGTAGTAAAGAAGTTGGGCTTTTTGTCTGATGAATGATGTAATAGACTAGTTTCTCACAGTGATGTGGTCAAACAGTCTAAAGGTAGACGTGCCACAGGCGGAAGTCGTGCTGATGTGGTCTCTGTGTCTGCGAATGGTGCCACTCGTCCGCTCACAGCTGCCGTCCTGTTGGACCATCACGACCTGCCCCTCTCTGTTCTTCAGATAAACCGGAGCCTTTATGCCGTACCTGAGCAAAGCACATAAATCTTAGTGCTGTGAGGGAAGCTGCTGAATTATGAAGTATTTGTTACAACTTTAGATGCTTTAAATGTATCTTTACTAGAGTAACATCAATGATGAATAGATGACAGAAATAAATTTAAAAGATTTGCAAAAAGAACAAAAACACTGGAATGTTAGCAAACCGCAGCGAAGATCAGCTGTTATGAGTGTGTCTTGTATTGTGACTTACTCTGGTACAAAGACCAAGACGCCGTCGTCTCTGATGGAGTAGATGATGCCGTCGGCCATGCAGTGTGGGTCAGACTGAGGGTCTCTGTCTTTGAAGAAGAGACATTGAAACAACTCTGTTGACAACTTCTGAGCTCGCTTAGCTGCCTGTGGAGGTCAGAAGGAGGTCAGGTGTTTGTTTCATGATGGTCAGGAGGGGAAAAAAACAAATCACAGAGCAGCGCTCACCCTGTTCTTCTTGTTGATGTGCTGACTCATTTGCTCCACTTCCTTGTTGCTGGCTAACATTTTTGACAATGCTTTTTCTTCAGCGATGGCTGCAGTAAGAAGGCGGTGAACCACCATGTCTGCGTAGCGTCGAATGGGTGAAGTGAAATGTGTGTAACAGTCCAGAGCCAGGCCTGAAAAAAACAAACAAATTTTTCATTTTTATACAAATGAAATAAACAGGGGAATTCTATGCTGCTTATCTTTACTGTGAAATGTACCATAATGATAGAACTCAGGCACAGTCAGAGCACCAGTAGAGAAGTACAGCGCCTCTGACATGGCCTGGGTGGTCATCATCCTCAGCAGCCTATTCACCAGAGAGTCCTCGGGGTCCACAGCTCGTTCCAGAGAGTCGGCCAAAGTCTTGTTGGTCCTAAAGAGTGGACTCGTATTAAGATTGGAGATGAGGAATTGTAAAAAAAAGGAGGGAGATTTTAACTGAATTACGTGGTGTCGATGTTGAATCCTCTGGCCTTCGCACTCTCCACCAGCTGGCTGAAGAACTCCTGCCTGGGTGGAGGGTGCCGCCTCAGCAGAGCCTGGTGAGGAAACGTCTCTTGGATTTTACGAGCCACCCAGTGGTTGGCGTAGATCATACACTCGGCCACGGTCTCGTGGACCTCTAGTGGCTGACGGGGAACAAGCGCAGTGATGTTTTTCTGCTCGTCAAGCTTAGCACGAACCTAAGAATGAAAAAAAAAAAAAGGTCTTTCACTCCATTGAAGGACACTTTTATTTTACAAGAGAGACAGTCTAACAGAGAACTAGCTCCAAATACTAGGTGAAAGAAAACATCATTAATATAATCACAGAAACAGAACTCCGTACCTCCACCCCCTCCAGCTCCAGCGCTCCTCCTCTGTCTCGCTGCGCCCGCAGATGTCTGGCGATAAAGGTGAGCGTTTCCAGAGCCTGCGTGAGCTCTGCCAGTCGACTGTCCTTCTGCTCAGGGCTGACCTGGGCCAGTTCAGGTACCGGCACCTGCTCTCCATTTAACAACGCCTGGGCCAGCTCATAGTGGAGCTGGTAGGAGGAGCGGATGATGGTGCGACCGTACCACACTTTGTTGACAGCAAGGGTGTGAGCGTCCAGCTCCCATATTACACTCATTGCATATCTGGATTGAAGATTAAAGGGGAGTTCATCGCAAAGCTTTTTTTTGGCATTGAAAAACATAGGGCAGTTCATCACAAAGCTTTTTTTTGGCGTTGAAAAACAGAAACATTAAATTAGGGCAGTTCATCACAAAGCTTTTTTTTTGGCATTGAAAAACATTAAATGTATTATGTTTACTGACCTGTCAACTCCACCCAGCAGGGAGCAGAGATCTGAACTCAGAACAGCAGGCAACATGTCATACCTTCGGTCTGCCAGGTAGTAGGTTGTTGCCCTGAAGTGGGTACAGAAAAAACCTGCTGAGTTTATTTTCACTTCCTATGTTGACTCCATCAGATCCAGGAGCAGCTGCAGATTTATGTAGCACCACCACAGTTTGTTTATTACCTGCTGCGTGCTTCCAGATCTGTGAGTGATCCCTCTTTGACAAAGTGGGTGACATCAGCGATGTGGACGCCCAGTTCAAACAGCTTCCCGTCTGCCAGGCAGCGCACTGACAATGTGTCGTCTACGTCCTCACAACCTTTGGGGTCGATGCTGAAAACCAGGTGACTCTGCCTGATGTCCAGACGTGCCTCTACCTGGGCAGGGTCTACTGTCCATGGGTTTTCAGCCGAGTTCAATGGCATCTCCCTGAGCTGAAGACACACAGAGTCAAACCAAAACACAGCTAGAAGTCCCACAATATTAATGATGTTGATATTACATATATATATGTATATATAAAGGTTGCGTTTACCTGTGCATCTGAGAAAGGAGGAACACTGATGGAGTTCTCAACAACTATCGTTTGGACCTCAGTGTCCAGTTCACCCGCCCGACCCAGAACCCGCACAGTGTGGCCGTTGGGATAAAGAGACGAGGTTTCCCATGAGTCAATGCGCACCACCACTCTGTGATCCTGAGTCCAACGTAAATAAGCAGATTAGCTAAATATGTTTTAACTTTGTGGTTTTACATGATTGACAGCGTGAGGTAACCCCCACCTGTAGAGTGTCTGCCTGCTGTGTGCTGATACGGATCTTTGGTATTCGATGATCCCAGGGAACAGTCAGGATGCGCTGAAAGTTCCTGCTCTGAGCCTGAGGCCCCTCCCTGGGAGGAACGGTCACCACGTAGTCTCTCCAGTTCCTCTGCTGGACCCCCACCACACGACCTAGAATGTTTGTCAACAGTAGGTACATTAATTACATTAATGGTACATTAATGTTTTATGTTCCTTTTATTGTGATGCAGTTTATCTAAAAGTTAAAAGATCACTGCATTTGAACAGCAGTGAAAAAAGAGTGAAATTGCTATTTTCTGGATTAAAAACAATGGGTTATTAAAGTAAGAGTAGTTTCTTGTCAGGAACGTTTGCAAAAAATCTGCTGCAAATATAAATAAGAGACTGTAAATCTAACCATTTATATATTTAAGCAGAGGTGAGCCTTAAGTCACATTAAAACATCCCACCTGTGGCCATGGGTTTACGCTCATCCTCTCCACTCTTCTCCTCCCCTTGACCTTCGGTCAGGGCTGTGACCTTCCCTTTCCACTCACTCTTCGGCAGCAACTCCACCACAACAATGTCGCCGTGCACGGCTCTGTTACGAGCCTTATCACCGTGCACTAACACGCACCAACCAATATCTGAGGCAAAGGAAAGAAAATTATATATATATACACATACTGTATAAATATGAAACAGATTGGATAAGACTGAGAAAGTTTCCAAAGAAATTCCACCTGAGCTTTTGTTTGAAAAACCCTCCAACATGACGAAGGCTTCAGTCTGCGCTCGGTGCTTGCTGACATTTAAAGTACCCTGAGGGTTAGAGGCAACATATACTTGTCTCAGAGGCAGGTGTTTCTTATCACAATGTTAAAGTTACACGAGAGAGACACTGGAAACTAGACAGTCACAGCTTTGTCCTCCATCTGAGACAAAAATAATGAAAATGTAATTTCTGATGTACCTGAATGTAGCGTCCAGACTTGATTCCTGCGTCCAAGACCTCAGCCGGGAGATGGTCACGATACTCTTCCTCTTTGCCTTCGCTTTCCTTTACTTGCAGTGCCAGAGAAATAGAGGCGTAAAGCTCATGGGCCCCTTGCAGGTCAGGCCAGAAGTTCTTAAGATAATCCTGTCAGGGAAAAAAAAAGTAAATATTACATTCCTTATTCTCTTATCACCTGGTGATGGGCTAACCGTTAGGGAAATTGTAATGACTTTGTGAAACTTGGGGTAACCTATAACTACTGGTTTCATAGATTCATATAATTTTGTTAAAAACTGTGATGTACCTGAACTGAGACGACATAAACTCCAGAGTTAAGACTGCTGTACTCAGTCACAGTGTCCTGGTCCTGAGTGATCATCACTATATCCATTAGGCCGGCCAAATGGTTATGGTACCACACAGCTGCAGAGTACACACACCTGTAAATACACAAGGTATACACAATCATATTTATTATTTGCTGTGTTTAAAACATAAAGACCATAAAGAAAGCAAGACTTTTTAAATAAAAGATGGCGATTTCTAACCTTGTCTGCCATTCTTCCTGGCTCTCGCCCTTTTCTCGTGGACAATAAGAGTACTCCTGGAACTCGTTGGAGAACAGAACACAGTCATGGCGAGGGTCTTTTAACAGGTTCCTCAGACGGTTGTATTGTCTACAGAGAAAAACAAAAATAAAAAGGTTTTCAGAGAAAGTCTAGCTTCTGATTGCTTCTTCTAAACCATAAATCATTTTTAAATGTACAAACTACAGCAGGCATCATTTTGACTTTCAGAAAACTAAAGGTATACATATCTATCTTTGTCCAAGAGAGATTATAAATTACAAAAACACTACAGGATTTCTGTGGAAGTGTTTCATTAGTGGGGAGTTCACCTTCGTCCTTTGCTGTGCTGAACAGCCTGACAGACTGTCTGGGTGAAGATGATTCCCTGCATCTCTTGGAACTCCAGGATTTCCAGGTAGTCAACCCCCACTCCGACATCAGGCACAACATAGTGGGTCAGATCTCCTGGCAAAACCTTACCACCTGGTTTTAACACAGATTAAGCACATTATGATTTGGTACATGTTTTCGAGTTAATTCGAGTTAAAGTTGAAAAATAAGCACATTATGATTTGGTACATGTTTAAATTTAGCTCTAACAAATCACTATGCCAAAGATTAAAACCTATTTAAACAGCTTCACGGACCCTTTACAAGTCACTTTGAATTTCTGCACGTCAAAACTTGTCGGTCACTTAAAATTCGAGTTAAAGTTGAAAATGGCCCACAGAACACATTATTGCTTAAAAAACGAATGTGTTCTGGAGGGACTGTGCGAGTGAGCGCAGTGTGTAAGGAAGAATAGAAACAGAAAAACAGCAACAGAAGACGACTAGAAATAAGGGCAAAGTAAGTGCTAGGTTGACGGGAGAGGCAGCGATAGTACAGGGATGCATGATCCCAATAACCTGTGCAAGAGGTTCAGACTAAGCCGAAAATTTGTTTTCATTGTGTTCACGGTTGGCTAAATATATAAAAAATCCGAAATTCCCATTCTCATTCTTTTTGAAAACCGAGACAAAGCAATAGCTAACAATATGGAAGTTACGTAAACGTTATCTTTTGCATTATAAAAATATTTTTAAAAAAAAGAGTAAAAGAGGGTTGTGCCGCTACTACTATGTATATATACATATACTCAGTGTTGTGTTGATTTTGAGGCAGCTCAGTGAAAACAGTACCGTTGGGACATCCCGCCTGACACACACTGCTGTAACAGGGAACTTCCTCCCGAAGATAATGTTCCCGGACCACACGGAGCCTCCGTCCTCGGTTGTTTTTTAAATGGAGGATCTTCTCTGTCCTTATCATCTTTACACGCCACAGAAGAGCCTAGAAAGTCAACAATGTTTGTCACAAATCAAAGGAAGCACCTGTAAACAAACTCCTTCTTCGCCATGTTGTTTTCCAAACGCTCGTGACCGGCAGCCAAATTGACGCAATATTGCCACCTTCTGTACGGGAGGTTAAAAACACTTTTTTTTTTCACCATTCTAAGTAAGGTCAGTATAACAACAAAACAACAACAACAATGACTGTATACTGCATATTTTTTGTGTCAAAACTGACCAATAAAACAGAATATGACAGAATACACCGTCTATTACAAAAGTAAAAAGCAAAATATGCTTGTAAATGATAATATTAACTACAGCAACAATAAATGTGCAAATTCATTGCTGAATGTTAACATACTTCTAGACTATTCCTATGGCTTCTTTAAATGTCAGATATGATTACACTCTCTCTTTTTAGGGACATACCGTAAATTGTAAAGTGACACACATCCAATAATACGTTTTTGTCATTAAATCTTTTTATTGGTAAACACTTACAGTCACCCAAGTTGGGTCAAATGTCTGACTTAAGACGAATCCAACTACATTAAGATAAAAAACAACGTTACTCACTACAGGGTAGTCTGTTGTATCACAACATTCCAGTAAAAAGTCCTCAGTATTGTGTAATATAGTGTTCAGTCATGCTTGTCTCCCAGGAATGCTGTGTGTGACAGACATCGTGGTAATGCACAGGAGAGACACTGTTGACAGATTGAATCCAGCCGCAGTGGTTGATATAACTGAAGGCTATTATTAAACCTATGAAGCATCATGAGCAAAATGTCTGCAATGAATTCAATGTGATGAGTTAGTGCTCAGTTTCCAAGGCCTTCATTTTAAATACACCGTCTTTGTTCCAAATATTAATTCTCATCAATATTCTCAATATGTAAACCTTTAATTAACAATTGCAGAATGATACAGGAAGAGCACAGGAGGGGGAGAAGACAAGGCATTCACCAGAGTACTGAATATGTCAATCTATATGAGGACATTTTAACCCTGCGTAATGAATTTTTATTAATTTGCCCCTGAATTAAACTGCGTAATGTATAAAATATTGCCTCCTCAGAGAACAGTGTGTTCTACGGGCATGCACAGTGGATGAAGGCAACAGTTCACACAACCACACTAAAATAACAATTTACTTTCACAGAAACTCACACAGTTTTATAGATAAGGCTAATAGGTGGCACTGCAACAGTGTAGTCAAGGAGAAGTCACTCAAACACTATATTGTCTTTGAACAAACAACTCTGCAGGAACTCCAAGTTTGACCTGCAGGAGTTAAAAAGTTCATCTTCTTCAACGCCACTCCTCTAGATGACAGTCTAAATCCAGATCTGGGCACTCCTCTGCTTTGACCCTCTGGTCTCCCTCTTATTCTTTACAGGCTGCTTCTCTCCTTTATGTGAATCATGTCTTTTTGGTTGCTGGTTGTCGTTTTGAATGTCTTTGCCCTCTTCAGGTCCCCTTGTAACACCACAGTTTCCGGTACATATCCACATCGGTTGATGATCCATTACGAGGTCCAAATTGGGGAGAGAAGTTGTGGTGCTGGTCCCATCTCTGAAGCCTAATGAGGATGTAAGGGAAGGACTATCAGGAGGAAAGGCTTCATACCCCTCCCTTAACCCTTTATAAACCCCCCATGTTCTCTGTTCCCTCAGCTTCACTACCTGTCGGATCTTCTTCCAACCCAAGTGGTTGAGCTCCAGGAGGTTCAGAAGGATACAGAAAATCCCCACGCAAAACATAAAGCACAAAAATATAGTTTTCTCTGTGGGCCTAGAGACGTAGCAGTCCACCGGTTGGCTACAGGGGGATGAGGTACAAAGGAAGTGGACAGGCACCTGGAATCCAAACAGCTTCCACTGAGCCAGGACGAAGCCCACCTCCAGGACAGCACGTAAACACACGTGAAAGATGTAGCATTTGGACAAAACCCCCCCAGAGACTATGTGACCCTCTGCATTTCCCTCTCTTATGACGCCAGCCTGGACCTGGCTCAAGGAAACTATGTTCTTGAGGTCCCCCCTCTGGAGGTTCTGTGTGGTGACACCCTCCAGTACATCAGCCAGGCTGTGACCCAAATGCTTATGGGAGCGGATGGAGCAGCTGTCGGAGTCACAGCTCCGATCATAAGCCTCCCGACCACCGTTACGTCCTACACCAGGTTCTGTCGGCCGAGAAGAATCTCCCAGCCCTTGTCCCAGTCTTGGAGGTGCGTTGGTGTTGTTGGGCTGTTTAGAGAGGTTGTGCCATGTGTAGATGATGAAGCAAAGGGACGGCGTTGAGACACTGATGATGTGAAACACCCAAAAACGTGGTTGTGAGATTGGTGCAAAAGCATCGTAGCAGACAGTGGAGCATCCGGGCTGTAAGGTGTTGCAAACAAACATTTCCTGTTCGTCCGTGTACACGTCCTCGGTCGCAACGGCCACAATGAGTAGCCGGAAGATAACCATGACAGTCAGCCAGAGACGGCCGATCATGGTGGAATGCTGGTGGACAGCATCCAGGAGACGTTTGAGCAGAGTCCACTCCGTCATGGTGGCCTGTGGCTGCTGGCTGCCTCGAGGAGGGACGAAGTGCCTTGAGTGAAGCAGTCTGCTGTGGACTGATCCACCTCTTCTCCAGGAAACTCCACTCTACTGAGCTTGATAAAACCTTAAAAACTCCAGCGGAAGGTGTGAACACGGACCTCTTCCGTTTGGTCTTGGTTCTTCATTTATACCCACATGTCGCTCGTTCTTTAGATTAGCAACTTTTGCTTCGCTCCTATTGTCCTAAGCTGTCGTTTACCGACTCTGCCCAAATGTCTCGTCTTGCCCTTCGTGCCTTGAGAATAGTGACAGCACTGTAAGAGCGAGCCATCCCATCTTTTACAGATAAGAACGGCCACTTGACGTGACTCACTCACTACAGAAACCTCTCTCCTGTTTGTAGGATCCATTTTAAAACCAAGAGACATCCTCCTGCCTTAACTGAGGACCTGCTGATAATGAAGACTGATTAACATTCTTCAGTGATTAGTTCTCTGAAAGCAAATCTTCCCCTTTTTTGATGGAGAAGCAGTTCTACACGAAGGCCAATGAGGCGCCTCCTGGGGGCACATTGCAGGAAATCATATTTAAAAAGCAGTTTTTGTAAAAACCTAAATACTGACTAACCACCAGTGGATCCTTGTGTCTTGTGAGGCTTGTTTTGACTGCTCCTCTGCAGCCACTTGGCAAGTCCTCTTATCAGTGTTTTAAAAAAAGACTCTTGAAAGGTCTCCCAGCATCAACTCTTCCTGTTCTTCAGATAAGACCCTTGGTGACCCCGACTCTAACATCAAACAACGCAAGTCCAAGTCTCTCTCTCTCTCTCTCTCTGCTCTGCTGACTTTCTATTTATGACTTGAATAGATGCTTTTACTGTAGCCTTGAAACTTACATGTAAAAAGCCCACAGCTTTAAGAATCCTTTAAGAGTCAAGCTTAAGAGTAGAGTAGAGTAGGGCTTTATTCTGTCTCTGTGTTGTGGCTTGATCACAGGACTAACTAACTAACTAAACCCAACTGATTCTATTGAAAATGTATTTTGTTATGACTTGCTAATGTCCACAGAGGTTCTTTTTTTTTCTTTTTCTGACATAACTACCATTCCAAAGATAAGGTTTTGCCCCATGATGAGGTTGTAAAGGTAAATCATGAAGCGCTTCACACCTGAGTAGACGTCCAGACAGGCTCCTACGGTGTTTTTGTCTGCTATCGATTTAGACTCAGGCACACACTGGATTAACATCTTTTAAAGGCCATTTTGGGACTTGATGAAGCGATGGATCGATAGAATGGCCCCTCGCTCCTGCCCTAAGCAGGATTAGAGAGGGGCCCTGTCCAAATTTAACAAAGCCAAGCAGAGGTGGGGGAAGCAAGAGTATTGCTAGTTTTAAGTAGACCATCACTAAGGTCCAGACACAACACTAGCCAACCCAGACCTGAAGCCTGAGGCAGAATCCAACCAGCCAGCAGCAACACACAGTGGAGGAAATGGCTTTTCTTCTTGACAGCGTGACGGCGTCCTGTATGTATGTGTTCATCCAGCCTGTCTGGGGCTCTGAACACCGCTGTCCCGCCACTGTCTAAGGAATTATCCACCCTTTCAGTTTTTTCATTAAAGAATTCTCAGTGTTTTGGTCTGTGCAGTCTGGGAATGAATAACCAGACAGGATTAATGAGAGATTAGAATGAAACAGTGCCTGAAAGGAACTTCAACTTTTGGATGAATTCTTTTCTAACAGTACTTTTACCTCAGCGCCTGGACGCTGCCAGTGTTAGTTAGCCCCATGTCCAAACTTAGTAGAGAAACATTTTCTGAATCAGCAGTGAACTAGATCAACCATCAGACAGAGCAGAGGTTCCATGGTGTAACGGTCAGCACTCTGGACTTTGACTCCAGCGATCCGAGTTCAAATCTCGGTGGAACCTGAAAATTAAAAAGGGTTAATTGGTGTCTCTCTTTTGCAAAAAGAAAAAAAATGCTATGTCTTAATGAGAAATCTTTAAATGACAACAGAGCTTTAAAAAAACTATACTAGTTATGTATAGAATCACTACCATTTCAACATAAAATGGATGGTGGTTCCCTCATCTAACAGTCAACAGTGGTCTCCCAGTCTTCAAATGTCAGCTGACCTTTTGTACATCGACAACATTATAACTGTATAACTTAATTAAACATGATTTTTATATTTTTTATAGAACAATGAACAGCTTGAAAATCAAGGCCAGAATCATGAGTCAGATCTATGAGAACCCTACGAAAGTTAGTCTATACACATTATACATAATATGTAATACTTGATATTACATATATAACATCATACATGACATCCTGCCATTGGGTGAGTGTTGGTTGAGGGTTTGTCCCCCCTTGTTTTACTATAACAGTACTGAGACAAGCAGAAGCTTCTTGGATGAAGAGTAGAAACATCTTCATCAAACCAAGACAGCTCAGTTGCCTAATTATTAACTGCTGCAGATAATGTGACCTGGACACACACACTGTGGCTCAGTGTAAAGCATTAAACATTAACAACAGTGTTTTTCCATGATGCTTTATAGCAGATTCAATGAGTCCATGATACAGAATAACATTTCACATCAAAGCCTCGTGTCTCTCCGGCGTGGGAGCAGCTCCGGCCGACATTACCATAGGAGCAGTGCTGCCTCTGCCTGCCTGTCTGTCTGTCTGCCGTGCCAACCTCTAACAGGATTAGGAGGGGATGTTGTTGAGGTGCTGCTCCTGTTGTTGGTGTTACTCACTCTGATGTGATTTCCATTCGTCTGGGCAGACCCTTACTTTCCCTTCCGTCTAATCCCTCACTATTCTCACCCGCTGTCTCAGCCGCACTAATCTGCTGGCAGCCTTAGGAGCAGGAGCGTCAACTCTCCACAGTCTGTGGTCAGGACTGGAGGAAAAGGATGTCTGTTACTGCACAGGAGTGAAGACACCTGAGTGACACCTGGGAGTTTAAGAGGATGAAAAGCAGATGGTGAGTGAACTAAATGAGATGAATCTGTTGTAATGTTAGAGATGTTGGTGTTGGCTTGTATTATTTGTGTGTGCTTGTTTTGCCACCGTGTTAGTAATGAGCTTGTTTATTGCCATGAACACAAATGGATTTTATGTTAAAAAAAAGATGTATTTTCCTCCTCAGTGTGTTCTGTGCAGTATTTTTTTAGTTAGAAAAGTGATGGCAGTGAAGTGAAACTCAAGTCTGTGATGCAACAAAAATACGTATAAAAAACGAGTTTCATTAGACTCACTCTTTGTAAATGTGTTTTTGATAATGAAAAATAATGCATTTTTGATGACTTATTTACAAATAACGCTGTTAAACAAATAAAATGCCTTAAAAATAATGAGTCTAGTTTATTTTAATTTAGCAGTAAACAGAGCAGTAGAAAAAAGTCATTTTTATACGGAGGAGAGGCGTGATATTTATTTAGCACAAATGGAAAAGATAATGATACCTGCAAAAACACTGAAATGTTTGGGAAAAAATAGGAGCAGAAAGTTACATAAAAAGGGAACATCCTGGGAGGTTCCTCCTGCAGCAGGTTAATGCTAACATGTTTAGCTGTCAGGATTAGGCATTAACTGAACATGAAGCAACGCTTCAAACAAGGATGGTTTGTAACTCAACAACTTTTTTTCACAAGGATGGTTTGTAACTCAACAACTTGCAATTACAATTCAACTCAAGCTTGATTTGCGCTGTAGACCTGCCATTTAAAGACAATGTAACACATTGTCATGTAACACAAGTCTTTCAAAAAGCCAGAAATGGAAAACATAAACCTGTGCAAAAAAAAATCAACAATTTAAGTGATACGTTGGAAACGTAAAATATAATAATATAATTGATGTCAAGTTTATTTAGGCTCAAATGTTTGATGTGAATCTTTAAAATCATTTTATTCTAAGAATATACACCAAGCAAGGTCAATGTCCTCGATGATAACTAAAAGTACGAGCACACACTCCCAGAGCATTTGCAGTATCATGTAAGCACGCACTTCCGTCAGGGCGACCTGATAGAGAGGTTTCCAGCCTCGCTGCTGCTCTCAGACACATGGACGGCAGCCAGCTGCTCCTCGACAAGACACATTTCATCAAGACTCTTCAGTGAACCCTGCTCTAGGACCAGGAGCTAATGCTACACATTAGCCTAAATATGGAAATTCTATTCCTCACTGTTTTTCTCTCATTCTTCTCCTTTAACCAACAGATGTGATGTTTCTCACATGAATGGATGGCTCCTCACGTGGTAGACATGACAGCAGAGGAACCCTGCAGCCCCGCGGTGCTGAGCCCTGTGGGTGAAGGCAAGTTAGGAAGTGAGGAGAACAGCAGGAAACAGGAAGTAACAGGAACTGAGCCAGAAATGTCTAAGGGGAAACAATTGGCAGTGAATGACAGGTAAGGTGCATATTTTGTAAAAACTAAATGTTCATACAATTATACTTTTTTTGCTTCATTCGGTACAAACCACAAATTTCTCTGGCCTGTCTGCGGTCCAGATCCAAGAGCAAAACTAACTTTGTTTGTTTGTTTCTATTTTACTTAATTGGTCTGCATGTATAATTTTTTATATCTATAAATAGCAAATGCATTTTTGCCTCTTGTCGCTCTTTGCCACTGATGTATAAATTCACTAATACTAAATAAAGATAAATCGAGCTCACTGAAGCGCTGTCTCTCGTGCAGCAGTGTCTGTCTGGAGGAGCTGTTCTGCAGGATCTGTCATGAAGACCAGTCCTGTGGAGAGCTGCTGTCCCCCTGTGAGTGCTCCGGCAGCCTGGCCACGGTTCACCGGACCTGCCTGGAGCAGTGGCTCACCACCTCCAACATGGGCCACTGTGAACTCTGTCGCCACCAATTTGCACTGGAGCGATTACCCAAACCTCTCACTGAGGTAATTATTCACCAATATTCATACAGATCTATTGTTTTTTTTAAATGTAGATATATTTGAAATGAAACGCGAGGCAGAGTCAGATGGATAAGCCTCATGCTTATGGACCTGCTGCTCTTAGCTGGATCTGTCGTACTGTTAAAGCCACTTAGCTGGAGAGCCAGATTAGATGGTGTTTCCTCCTCACGCTGCTGGGCTGAGGACAGGACTGGAACTCTGTTTTTTTTTTCTGTTTGCCTGTGCTGTAATCTGCTGATTAAGCCCTGCCAGGTAGACGACACAGTCAGCAGTGAGTCCAGCATGGCTGAACATGTGCACATGAGAACTGGAACCATGTATAGACAGTTAGTGGATACCATGTTTGGCACATTTGAAGCCCACGGGCATGATGTCAAGGTCAGCTAACTGTTAACTCAGAGTGGACAAGATGGAATCTTCTTTTGACTTGTATCTTAATTATAATCAAAGAAGATGGAATCTTCTTTTGACTTGTATCATAATTAAAATAGTTAACAGTTAAAAGAAAAAAAACTGAGATAGAAATTTAAAAAAATAAAGGAAAATACTAGGAAACTTTTTGCCGATATCCAATATGCCGATATTGTCCAAATAAAAATTAAAGTATAAATCAGGAGTGACTGACAGGTAAGGTGCATATTTTGTAAAAACTCAATATAAATGTTCATACAATTATACTATGTTTATATGCAGCCGTCTGGGTTAAATGCAGAGGTCACATTTTATTGTGTGAAGTGCTGTATCAAAATGACAATAATTCACTTTCACTTTGTCTTCCAAACTATTTTTAGGTCACATCAGTACAACATCAGTAAAAATGTTAACCAGGATTTTCTTTCTTGTTCTTCCCTGCAGTGGCTGTGCGCTCCGGCCATGCAGCAGCAGAGGAGGACACTGTGCGGTGATGCTGTGTGTTTCCTGTTCATCACACCTCTGGCCAGTCTGTCAGGATGGCTCTGTGTTCAGGGAGCCATGGACCTGTACTATACCAAAGGCATGGAGGCTGTGGGGCTGCTGGTCCTCACGCTGGCTCTGTTCACCATCTACGTATTCTGGACTGTGGTACGTCAACAGTTATTTACTCAGCATAATGAGTCAGTGACCAGAGAAATATGACAGTAAGTCACATGTGGTCATTGCACACATAATCTGCAGGTAGATAGCCAATGAGGATTGGCTTCATTTTTTAAATGTAATATTTACAAAAATTAAGGAAAAGCCAAATCAACATGTCAACCTAAATCTTGATGTATTGAGTGTCATACTAAATACTGAAGGCTAGTGTGTTGGACTTATAATATATAATAATATCATCATCACCTTTTATTACTACAGTAGTTAATGTTTTTCACCAGCAAAAATGTTATTTAAATTCAATCTCATGTTTGGTTCATGTTTTATAATAATAAATATTTCTTTTAAATATTCTGGATACACTTCAAGTTGACCAGTGGAGTCTATGTGTGAATGGTTGATGGCTCTAAACTTGGCCTTTGCCTGATGACTGCTGGGATTAGCTGCAGACCCTCGGTGACCCTGAGAAGGATTAAGTTGTAGAAGAAGAATGAATGAATGAGTTCCAGGGTCAGAGGGCAACAACGTGGTCAGAAGGACATCCAACAAACATGCAAGGATTTTCTCCTGCTTATCCTGTTAGAGGTTATTAAAAATATCTGAGAGAGTCCATCTTTAAACATTTATATAATTTTCATATATTTAAAAAAAAAACAACCCAAAACTAAAACTCAGATTTTTCTAATTAATTTGAGCTCAACGTCTCTCTCTCTCAGGTTTCTGCGCGTTATCACATGCATCTGTTCATGACATGGAAGAAGACGGGCCAGAGGGTTCGACTACATGTTCCTTCACCTGGACACGGCAGCCACAAACACCAGAGTGTGTCCATCAGCAGCCTGAGTAAAGCTCCTGACAAAGACACTGTGGTGTGAACACTGTCACAGAGGACTGTGGAACTGTGGTTACTGCAATGACTTCCTTTCTTCACACAGTCCTGACTGTCATGGGTATCATAGAAGTGGGGAATCAACTGTGACCTGTGCCATTCATTAAAGGTCTGGTGACTGGAAGGAGGAAGAATCAAACCCAGGGAACCCATCCCTGCTCCTCCCCTGAACGACAATCAGTGTAGATTAATAAATACAGTGACATGGGACCTGGGGTGTGACTAGAAACACTGCAGACAAGAAAGAAAGCATGAAACCAAACTAATCACAATAGCATTAAGGCATAAAAGAGGTTTTTACATCTGTGTTTTTGCGATGATATAATCGTTATTACACAGACCAGAGCAGCACTTCCCACCATGAAAGAGTGGGATAACCCTGGCTAAATATGAAATACGGACTATTATGTATAAGTTGGAGTGACTCGAGCCGATACTCAAGATCGGTATTGGTCTCATATTGATCAAAATGTCAGGACTGAACATAAAAAAACAAGCTAATATTTAATATCATCCTATCTCTCATCTGAGCAACAGAATTGTTGGTATCGCCAGATACCCCAAGTTTCAGTATCGGTTTCAGACATGTTTATAAGTGAGTGATGTACAGGGATTAACCCGACAGGAAGTGGTTCCATGGTGTAATGGTTAGCACTCTGGACTTTGAATCCAGTGATCTGAGTTCAAATCTCAGTGGAACCATACAAACTTCTTCTTCTTGGATTAAACTGTGTTAAAAATAGTTCCATAAAAACAATGTATTTATCACAGTTGTAATTTAAGGGTTAGAACAACATTTTGTACAGGCTACAGCTTTGTTTCTATGAACTGTTATTTCAATCCTATAAATAAAGATAAGTAAACCATTGTAAATATATTTAGGTTTTATAGCTTAATTTGTGATTTTAAACACTGATATACTGTATTACCTTTTTTTGTACAATTTTTTGACTTTCGATGAATATATTGTTATTAAAGTAAGAAATTGTAAATTGTAAGTATGCACATTTACGACAATGACTGACAAATGACTGGATGCCCTTTTCTTCACATCAAAACATTCAAACTAACTCTCTAAGATTTGTTACAATATATGAAGTAGTCTGAAGAACATGAAGTCTGGAAGTTTAAAGAAAGCCTGATCAGCTGTTGTTTGTATTTAATATCAACCACACTGTAACAGTCACTACTGTATAGACTGGGATGAAAAGATCAATGCCAGAAGTGGAAATGAAGAGGTTAAAAACTTTAATGCACACCTTCACACACACATACACACTCAAATCTATCATTTTACTGTTTGTTAAGAAAACTTTATTATTTAATTATTTTATTTGTCAAAACACATTTAAATTATATCTATGATCACATGTAATCGTCTGTAATCTGGCATTTAAAGGAATACTGAGGTGCAATACTGCTACTGTGAGGTGTCCCAGCATCTGGCCCTTACATTAATACGTCAGTGTGTCTGTGGTCATGTGTAAAAGACATTAAATGGATCAAAGCAGATCAAGGCCGAAGACGTGAAGAGCAGCAGGAGCCGAATGAGCGATCACATGACGGCACAGCTGGCCTCCTTAGATAGTTCCTGGAAAAAAAACAAAAAAAAAATTAAATGTGAAAATCATAATCCACATGCTGAGGTCAGTCTGGGAAGATCGACGCAAGGAGCGCGATTCAACAGCCAACAGTAACAGCGGTGTCGTGGTTATACATGAAGTTAGCATGTGTGGCTATAGATCAGTGGGTTAGCTAGTGAAAGCAAGTAGAGGTACGATTTGTTGCCCTGCTAATGTACTTTGTGATTAATGTGTAAAGTGCATTTTGTTTATTTTTATGTTATTTTAGCTTTAGTGATATGGTTAACTAATTGTTACTAAAAGTAAACAAATCTTTTCCCTTATTCATCCTATTAAAAATTGTTTGTATATTGTTGACGTTTTGGATAAATATACATTCTGGATTCCAGACCATATTTTAAACTTTGCAGCTACTTTATAGTTATGTTTTAGCATTTTTTTTCTTTCAGGCTTTATCTTTTTCAGGGCTAATCTTTGTTGTCGTTTCAGATGCTTCATTTTTTTGGCTAACATAGAACCATTTTTGCTTTAATTGTCCCAGTGTAACTGAAGCATAAAAAGACTATATGGTGGAATTTGAACTTTGAACAACAAAAATCTAAATGGTAAGAATCGTATGTCAAACAGCGAGAAATATGTCTGTACAAATGTGCCTTTACAAATAAAAAAGGGAGCGTATCTGAAATGGCATCAAATGATTAAAAACATGCTTTTCTGTATGTACAGTATAATGACAGCAAACACAACATGCACTACACAAACCATGGCAGACACTGCTGCCTGATAGAGGACCTCACCTACAGTCTGCTCTGTGCTCAAGACACAGAACAACATTTCTTCTTCTTTTTCTTGGGCTTCAATGTGAGCAAGAAACAAAGTGAGAGGATAATCTTGACCTTTATAACTTCAGGAAACATTTTACACTTTACTGTATGAGATTATTAAACAGTTATTATCAAACTGTAACAATCCTCAGGTTAATTTTTGTGAGGTTTAACTTGGTACATTTACCTGTCTCCTTAAATGTTGGATAGAACTGCCTGTGAGGATTTCTTCATGGAACTCCAGTTCACTCTCCTCGTCGTCTCTGACCGGCATGCAGAGGTCATCTATTTCCTGAAAAGGAGGAAAAACACATGAAATAGAAATAAATATACATTTTGAATGTTGACCATTTGTCAAGTAAACCCTACTGCCTTCATTGTTGTCACTGCAGCCATCATTTTTTGGAGCACTCAGTCTGGTTTACTGACTGTGTTGTATAACTAACATCACTTCACATCAAGTCAAAACACTTCCTTTAAATAAACATTTCTGACATCATTTAGACGTGTGTTTACAAGGTGCTTCCTGTGAGCTTAGCTCCAGCCACTGACCTCCTGGTTAGCATTGAGGAGGACAACCCTAACGGAGTTGGGGCCCCAGCTCCTGTGGCCCTGAAGAACCATGTCTCCAGATGCAGCCTGCGTCTGCGCTCCTGCGGCCCAGATCTGACAGTAGAAGGTGGAGACACACACACACACACACACAAACACATTCTGATCAATATCCTCTCCACCTGCAGTCGGTGTCGTCTACAGCTGGTTGTACCGTACTGACAGTGAGCGTCTGTCCAGCAGCCAGGACACAGGACGAGGGGATGTGGAAGGAGATGTTCCCAGAGTCGGGATAAATCCTACGAACCGTCCAACCACCGAGGGGCTGCTCCTAAAACGTGGAGATGGAGATAATGATGTTAATGTTGGTTATATTTAGATACCAGATACAAGTAGAAGATGCAGGAGCTGAGGCTCCACAGGTGAGCGCAGAGAAACGACAGACAGCTTTGATAAGTTTTGTATCCAATGGTTAAAATGATAAAATTATATTTTGTGCTATTATCAACCATTTGACTCGTACTGAAACTCACGTAGTCAATGAAAAAACACAGAAACGACCAGCCTGACCTGCTCTCCAGTTCATGTAAGACCTTGACAATTGCATGCACATACTCCCTGTTTCTTGTAGATACACAAATGTATCCAGCAGACTGAAAATGTAACCTGCTCTCGTTCAGACAAATGCTTGTGTTGCTGTGTGTAAGACTGGGAGCTTTAGTTAAACTTCGATGACAACTTTCAATTAAACTCTCCATTAAAACTCTTTATTCATTTCCTGTTTTATTCTTTATTCCGAGGTGACTGTTGTTGACAAAAAATGCTAAAACAAAACCAAATACGAAGGTGAAAAGTTACCTCTTCAGAATTGTTCTTTAGCATGACGTACTTCCCCTCCACGTCCGCCTCCGCGAGGCTCACTGTGCTGTGGATAGTGGATCGACTGGAGGCCTTACAGGCTGGTGAGCTGCCAGTCGATCCCTCGTATTTTCGTTTCTTGCCTCTGACTTTGTGGCTGCTGTGTTCGTGTGTCCGCGAGACAGTGGTTTGCCTCGGGGGACTGGGAGACAACTGCAACCTGAGGGACAGAAATCCAGATGCTTCTTTAATTTATTTTTATTTTTTTTGGAGACCCAGAACCAAACGGCCTGATCTTTGATCAAGCGTGTGCCACACCTCTGCTCCTCCACCTCCAGCATCTTCCTGTAGGCGTTGATCTCCATGTCCAGAGCCAGTTTGACGTCCAGCAGGTTCTCGTAGTCCTCCAGCTGGCTGAACATTTGGCTCCTCGTTTTCAGCAGCTCCTGCTCTTTCTGGTTCATTTTCTGCTGCCAAAGCTCCCGCTCCCTGTCCCGAGTCCTCTCCAGCTCCTTGGCCCGGTCCTCCAGAGTGGTTTTCTGACAGAGGAGGAGGAAGAAGAACATCGACATACATATCAGCACCAACAGTAAATATTTAAATTAACGGTACAAGCGATAGCGTTGTCATACTGGTCCTGTATCTACTACACGGCTGATGGAAAGTGAATGAATTCTGATCTGGACTCACGTCTTTCTGGCACTGCTGCAGCTGAAGGCTGATGGCCTCCACTCTGACTTTGGTGGACTCCAGCTCGTCTCTGGTGGACAACATGACGTCGCTCTTCTCCAGCGCAGCCTGCTGCGCATTCTCCAACTGGTGCACACAGAAGGTTCCATGTTCAGTGTGGTATTTATCAAATATTTTGAACTGCGGTGCAGGCTGACACTAACCCACCAACAAATCGTAAACATCCACAAAAATTACCAGTTGTGGTCAGACCTGCTGACCAATCGATGTGGGACAACTAGCAGTTGAAACAGGTTTAGAAATAATGAATGGAAATGTGAAATAGATCACCTACAGTTGTGAAGTCATTCCCATAATGCCATGCTGTTACCTTTGAACTGAAGGTCTTCTCGATCTCCTCCTTGTATTGCTGCATCTGAGACTCGTGCTCCTGGCGAAGCTGCTGAATGGACTGAGCGAGTTTACTCTCAAACTCCCTCCGTCTCCCTGAGTCCACCTCCACCAGGCGGCTGTTGTGACGACTGCGGATCTCCAGGATCTCCTATAAAGTGCGGCCAAAAACAACATTTAATTAAAAAAACAAAAACCAAAACCTTGGCTCAAACATGGAGCTGTTGGTCGGTGTTTGGGCTCACCTGCTCACTGATGTTCCTCTGGAGTTCCAGCTGTTCCCTGAGTGTCTGCACCTGGTTCTCCATGTCCACCCTCCTCAAGATTTCAGAGCCCAGTTGGTTTTTGGCATCAGACAGAACGCTCTCTACCTGGACACACAGGAATCTCCTCAAACACACAACTCCAAGAAACACATGCAGTTAACATTTCAACCCAAAAATCTTAAATTATGGATTTTCTTTTTTTAATTTGGTCCAGGTAACATTTGTATGAACTTTGTGTCCTTTTAAGTAATACAAAATTAAAGGGTGAATGACAATGGTTTAATGGTTTGAGAGCCACACTTTCACACAGAGGGCGCTGTTCATACCAACAGACTGGATCAGTGGAATGAAGGAGTGAGAGAAAGAAAATCCTTCTTACTCTTTCTGTCATTGGTTTTAGGCCAGTTGGCAGCTGCGTTTATCTGAATTCACGTCGAGTTTGGTGAAGTTGACGTCACCTATCTTCAAGCCAAACTGCTGTCCTTTGATCTCTTCACATGAGATAAAAGGTCCATCCTGATTTGACCTCAACAAGGTTCACTTTGTTTCTCACCCTCTTTCCTTTTCCTTTTCCCGCCCTCTGGTGTCATACCCTCCCACCTCCCAGTTCTTAAAAAACTGCGTTGAACTTGTCTCGTTGATAAATAAAATTACAAAGCAGCACATATTTCAAACTGCGCCCCCCACTTTGAGAACCACTCGGCTAAAAGCTGTGCGTGGCCCCTGCTAACTTTAATGTATGCTAAAGTTAAAATATTTCAGATTGTGTCCTTGTTGTTGGTTGGCCAAATGTGACCCGTTCAGCTTTTTAATCCGGCCGCCAAACTTTTCCAAATTATATAATTTAATTATATTATCATTACACTTCTGCCTTTTCACTGCAATAGCCACGTTTCCCGAGTCAAAAACGTTTGCTGTAGCACGTACGTTCTCCAGCTGACCCTGCAGGTCAGCGACGTCATCTTGAAGCCTCCTGTTGTCAGACAGGAGCTTAGAACACTCGGCATCCTTGGCGGTCAGGGAGGCCTCGACTCTCTTCCACTGAGACACCGTGTTCGCCAGATCGCTCTCCTTCTTCTGGTGTCTACAGAGGAAGTGCACAATAACATGAGAAGAAGAGAACCTGGAGGAGTGGAGGAGCTGACGTCAGGCCGAGGTCGTCCGCCCAGGGGCGTGACAGGCCGTTATCGTCAGTGTCACCACAGAACGATCAATGGCTTCAACTCTATTATCAACTGTTGACCTTCTAGCTGCGAAGCATCAGTGCTAACCACCACTCCACTGTACACTCACAACAAAGGTCACTAACAATGATACTGTACAGTAAAGCAACACAATCAGTGTTTACTTAACTGACTGACAGAAAAGGCAGCACATGATGATGCTGCAGATTTACTGCATGCTGATTGGATGATCAAGCAGGTTTAAGCCAAGCTTCAGAAACGATGCCATGTTTTTTTTTTATAAAAGAGAATTTTATGAATCTTGTACATGTTTTTGATTTTGTTTCTCTTTTTCCTGCAATATATCATACAGGGCCTCATCACTGCACCTTAATATTTGGTTTTAATGAATTGCATCCTAAAGAAAATTCTGATTTTTGTTTACTTTTAGTTTCAGTTAAAGTTGTCACAAAAGTGGGATTTTATTACATTTTAGTATGTACTTTGTGGTTGTTTTTAATCTTTTTAAAAATGACATTTTGTTTTTAATATGACACTGTTGTGACCTGCTGCTTCACCAACAATAATAAATTGACCTTTGAGTCCCTTCAAAATGTAAAGGGTGTTTATATTATAAATTGTAAATATTTTAATGTTAGTCAACCAGGTGTGTGTAATCAGAATCAAATCTAACATATTTTTTTATACACGTTTGATCAACGACCTTAGTGCACCTGCGGTGCTCGAGCAGCCGTACCTGGCCTGAAGTTTTTGGTAATCCTCACACAGATTCCCGTGGTCGATCTGCAGACGGGCCCAGTCTGCGGCCACGCCGTCCAGGGACTTCCTGACATCGGCCAATTCCTCCTCGTACAGCCGCCGGACGTTGCCCATCTCCCGGCTTTTAGAGTCATCTTTCTCCTCCAGCTGGAGCAGCACGGAGGCCCGCTCGCTTTCCAGCTCCTGGACCCGCTGGATGTAGTTAGCGAGGCGGTCGTTGAGCTGCCGCAGCTCATCCTTCTCGTGTTTGCGTAGCAAAGTGTTGGGGCTATAGGCGGAGGTAGCGGCGGGGGCGGGGGGGGGGGGGGTGTCGGGGGGCGGCGCGCGGGGGCGGGG